GAGGACTGCCAAGTATTTAGCCAGCTGGTACAAAGAAGAATATCTCTAGCAAGAGATTGCCCAAACACCATTATTAGGAGTCTCAATATGAAAGGTAAGAGACTGAGTTATGGCCCTGGCTGTTAATTGCAGAGGAAGGATCCAAATTTCAGTCTTTGATATCTTACTACACAGTGTGGCTGTAGGTCATAAGGCTGGGTGACAGCAGTGCGTCATCCTCTTCTTCTCATCACTGTCCTCTCTCTTTGTGACTTGTGCCAAGATTGCCTTGTCAATCCGGTGCTTCAGTTTTGGATGTCCTTCAGGGCTCAGGAATTAACTGAAGGAAGTTCAGCCTTGCTCCAAGCTGAACCACCACTGTTGTAGTATAATACATTCTGTGCACAGAAAGTTTGTTCACTGGGCTATCCTGGAGCTAGAATTCTCAAATCCTTAATATTCAAAATGCTGTTTGAAGGGAAGGGATGATGTCTTGGGCTTATCATTGATATCTGTATGTGTTGCTGTTCACTTGTCAGTGGTGTTTTGATTTCAGCTTTTGTCTTGGTGACATTACTGAATAATTTTAATTGTCAGTGTTCTCTTCTAAATCCTTTCCCATAGAAATAGTTGTTACATTGGATAAAACTGAAAGATGTTTTCTGCTCATACATAGAATTCTGTCAGGAACTGTTAAATAGGTTTTGGTGTGAAAGCAGAGTTAGCCTGAGCTGTATTAATTGGGCAATTAACAGTCAAGGTTCTTCTGTATCTACAGGTACTAGCCAAAAAAAGTCCATTCCAAATACCAAGGTACAAATACAAGTGAAAACTGATTTTTGCTAATACTCTGCATAGACGATGTTGCCATTATTGCCATAAACTCCTGTAAATATGCAAATATTTAAGGTTTTTTGGGGTTTTTTTTATATGGTATTTGCTGAAATAGAGTGTTTAAAAATGGGCTTCATCTCACCTAATTCTTGGTGTCTAAAAATAAAACAGTGAATTGTCTCTGCACCCCCTGTGGTAGCTGAGGAGAGACAGGTATGTCTCTTGGCTATTCATCCCACCCTAAGTGAGGTGTCTCAGCTGCATGGGATGAACTGCTCTCCCGGGGTCCTGTCCACAATCAGTAGGAAACAGGGCTTCTCCCATGAATGTGGTGTCCTTCAAACGTGTGCCTGTCTTAGGGGGGATCCCTGATCTTTACTGGCTTATTACAGTTTTGAAATCACCCCTTCCCTCCCCAGAGCTTCCTCTGTGAGGTTCCTTGTCTATCTCCAAGCAGTTTCTCCCTGTGTTTAAGGAAGGAAGAGGAAAGGAAAATTATTGGGATAGGAGCTTTGTTTGTTTGTTTTTATTGTTTGGCCTTTTTTAAATAAAAATGAGTTTTCTAAATAAGACAAACAACTTTGTATCCCCTGATTGTTTGTTTTATAAGGAGACGAAGAACAAGCAAAGATTGTTCAGTATGTTAGATTACAAACTGATACCTCAGAGATTTGGTACACAATAAAAGTTGCTTGCCCAGTGATTTTACTTAGCAAGGTGAAATTTCTCTTTAGAGTGTAGGTCAAATATTTCAGGATTGTGGAGGATGTGCTAGAGAGGTAGGAACTCAAAACATGATTAGGAAAAAAATGCCTTATTTCTCTGAATGTACCAGTGATCTGACCTTCCAGATGCTATTTAGCTGTAGATACACTGTCATGCTTTGTAACTTCCACTTTTTTTTTTTTTTTATCTTATACATACCTTCTTTGGGTATACCATGGATCTTCAGGATTGCTTATTTAGGAGAGAGTGAGATATTCCAGTAACCAAGATGACAGTTATGAGGAAACATGAAAAAGGGCCAAACAATAACAGCTACTGCCAAACTTCAGCTTCTTTGGGAACAGAATTTTGGCCAAATTCCTTCCCTAGATTGCTTTTAATACATTTAAGAGAACAGTTTGGAAGGATAAGGACTCTTGAGATCTGCTGTCTTCCTTCAGACTTCCTTACTGACTCTGTTGGGGAAATCTTTTTTAGTTTAAGAACGTCAAGTGTCTTGAAAGACTGGCTTACTGAAGTTGACATACTAGAATAAACTGGTGATTCATATTAGTGGGAAGTGGAGCAGTAATCATTCTAAGTGTACTGAAGGAGTTTGGTGAAGCTGCTGCTGTACAAAAATATTCTAACCAGTTAGAAAACCAGGTTGCAGCAAAAGGTATTTGTACCTTCAAAGACTGGGGGAGGATGATCTTGCTGAGGTCTGGCTCTCAGTGCCCTATGATATCTAATCAGAAGAGCTTAGTATCATTCAAAAATAATTGGGCTGTTTAATCTATAACATGCCTTCATACAAGGAAAATACAAACAGCAAACACAAAATCTGCTTGCTAGATCCACAGCCTTGTTTTATTGTTACAAAGTGAGCCAAGTTAAACATAATTGTTAATGAACATAACACAGTAGGGGCAAAGCAATGCAGCTTCTGTGAAGGGAAACTGAGCTGTGCACATCTGTGCAGATTAACATGTATGAATTAAGAAATTACTCTCATACATTTCTTGAAAGCTTTGATAGTAAGCTACTCTGGTTTTCAGAATGTCACAGTTAATTGCAGGACTCCATCCTCACACAGCTGTTAAGTGTGCTTACCAGTAAATTTGAATAACTTAGCAGTAGCTGAACCGTATGAGTTGTGTAAAAACACGTACTTGCGATTGGTTCAGAATTATTCAGGTAGCTGAGTAGAAGAGAAGACTCTGTGGTGTTCCCTAGGGATCTCAAAGGAGGTGGGCAGCTGGCAGTCTGACACACAGCCCAAGTTGTGCAGGTCTCTGTTGGGAAGGTTTCTGTTCTCTAGTAGCTTCTGCTGTAGCCACAGATGTGTGTTGGGACAAGTCCTCAGGCTTGAAGCAGTGGGTAGTCTCGTGTTTCCAAACTGCAGACAGTGCCCAACAAAGAAAATGGAAGGGAAATACTTTCCATTGGTATTGGAAAAAGCAGAGTCAGGTAGTTATGCTTATGAGGATGTGTATATGTCATATGTAGTAATTTACAGGGACTGAGGTGGGTGGTGTTTATTTTGACCACTATACAAGAAAAGAGAGATGTTCAGTACCCTGAATGTTAATTAAAAACTGCTTTCTTATTCCTTACATCATGTCTTGCTAACCTGTGAAGCTCAGTGCTGTATGATAGCTAATCTGAAGAGCTTAATAACATTCAAAATTAATTAAACTTTCAGATGGATACTATGCTCTATTATCTTGTACAGGAAAAAGATAAACCCTCCAGCTTCAAAGACGAGTTGGTAATAACTAGTGCTGAAGAAAACTTGACTGTTGGCCACTGTTCATTAAAAAGCCTGAGGATCAGTCATTGCTGCTGCTGGGTTAGGAGAGAACAAGGGCAGACAGTGTGCTCAGAGATACTGCTTGCTAGAAAGAACACTTTTACAAATGGTCTGTTGTCTGGGCCACCTTGGTTTTGCTTTCAAAGCATGAAACCTCCAGACCCACAGGTGAAATGACATCATACATACTGCTCGTCTCAGATGTTTGTTTGTACATAAACTAATCCTGCTGTGGGGCTGTCAGCAGCAAAGCAACTGAATTAGTTATTATAGTTATTGGTAGATTTCTATCAAGGGATACTCCCTGGGATTTTTCTGGTTTTATTTTAATTGGAGATGTATGTTTACTATTTGTGATTTGTGTTGGCATTGCATGCCTCCTACAGCAGGCAGAGTGGGTGAGATTGCCTTGTTGTGGTGGGTTTACCCTGGCTGAGTGCCGGGTGCCCATCAAAGCTTCTCTGTCACTCCCCTCCTCAGCTGGACAGGGGAGAGAAAGTACAACAAGAGACTTGTGGGTTAAGATAAGGTCAGGAGAGATCATTCACCAGTTACTGTTATGTTGAAGTACGTGAAACAGACTCGACTTGGGGAAATTAATTGAGTTTTATAACAAATGAAATCAGAGTAGGATAATGAGAAATAAAACCAAGTGGTCAAATACCTTTCCTCCACCCCTCCCTTCTCCCCAGGCTAATTTAACTCCAAAATTGTTCATTTCCCTGCTGTCAGTGGTGCAGGGGGTTGGGAAATGGGTACTCTGGTCAGTTCATCACATATAGTCTCTGCTGCTCTTTCCTCCTTGGGGCAGGACTCCACGTTCTTCCCCTGTTCCACCACGGGGTCCCTCCAACAAGAGACAGTCCTGCACAAACTTCTTCAGTGGTCTTCCCATGGACTGCAGTTCTTCACAAACTGCTCCAACATGGGTCCTTCCCATGGGGTGCAGTCCTTCAGGAGCAGACTGCTCCACTGTGGGCTCCTGTGGCCTGGTAGGCCACAGGTCCTACCAGGAGTCTGTTTCAGTGCACGCTTTCCGTGGGGTCACAGCCTCCTTTGGGCATCCACCTGCTCTGCTCCCCTGTGGATTTCCATGGGCTGCAGGGGCACAGCTGCCTCACCATGAACTGCACCACAGGCTGAAGGGGAATTTGCTCCAGAGCCTGGAACACCTCCTCTTCCTTCCTCACATGTCTGCAGGGCTGTAGCTTTCACATATTCTCACTCCTCTCTTCTCTGGCTGCAGTTGATTCAGCAGAGTTACTTTATCCTGTTTTTAAATCTATGATCCCATCACTGTCACTCATGGGCTTGGCTTGGCCAGTGGCAGGACTGTCCTGGAGCTGGCATTGCCTCTGTTGGACATGAGGGAAGCTTCCCACAGTGTCTCAGAGAAGCCCTGTAGCCCCTCTTCCCCCTCCCAAAACCTTGCCATGAGTACACAACACACATACCAACTTGTGGACACTTAAACCAGGGAGAAAAGATTCTGACTGTAAAATTACCTGCTGATATGAAAATGTTCTATATTAGTTTGCAGAATATAACAGATTTTTTCCTATCACTTTGTAAAAACAGCTTGCATGGTCAGATTTGTTGTATGAATTTGGTTAGGATCTTATGAAATCTAAATTAACAAGCATCTTAAAAGTATCTGCCTCTTTTGCAGGGTATTATAGAGAAATCAAAAGTGAAAGGAATTCCTATCATTATTGATGCAGTAAGTATTTTCTTTATTTCAGTCAGTGGTTTAACATTTAAGAACCTATTCAGTAAATGTTCTTACTGTGTTTTGCAGGATGGACTGTGGCTCATTTCCCAGCAGCCTTCTCTTATTCAAGGCTACCAGCGAGCTATTCTTACTCCAAACTATATGGAGTTCAGTAGACTGTATGAAGCCATGGTGAGCTGCTTGTCTTTTTGTCCTTGAAAATAAGTAACTTATTACTGGCTTAAGTATTATGTACTGTTTCTTGTATATGAGAGAAACACTTTCTGGGTTATTATTTCATGGGATGATTGCCACAGCAATGCATATTTTTAAACTGAGCTCTTTTTTAAAGACCCATTTTCATTTTGCATTTTTTAACATTGCAGTGAGTATAGAAAAAAATACACAGAAAGACTGATGATGTTGCTCTTTTTTTTCCCCATGCATATATAACTAGCATGTGTTAGAATATGTTGTTCTAGTAGCAAAATATGTACTGTGTATGGAATTCTTGTGTTGTAGCTTAGAGACCCCGTAGACAGTAGTGATCATCATGGATGTGTGCTAAGACTCAGCCAAGCCATGGGGAATTTGACAGTTGTGCAAAAGGGAGAAAGAGATCTTATTTCAGATGGAGAGAAGGGTAAGTGAAGCCTTCTGCTTTTAGCAATGTGACTTTTCTGTTCTGTTTGCTTTCAGTCAGAGTCCAGTAGAGTGTATGGCAATTGGCAGTATTCCCCGGAAGATTAGAGGGATTGCTGCCTTTGCTGATCACCTTTAGAAGATTTCTGGAAATCAATACCTTAAGAGTGCAACTAAATTTATTTGCTGAAAAGAGTTGCTGATTTTATTTCGCATTTATAGATGTTATATTTTACATTACATGGGTATTGAGAAATTGATTATTTAATCTTTGTGAACTATTTGAAAGTTCTTTATTGAGTTGGTTTATATAAGTGCAGCTGTCATTGCAAAATTGATACAAAATAATACTGTTAGTTCAGGATGTATCAGTGTGTGTGAGAAGTGAAGATGTCTTCTTAAGGCTCATGACCTGCTCAGTTCCTTGGTGCTGTCCATCACGGGGCGGCAGATTAGCTTGTACATATATAACTTCACAGAAGCCCTGACAAATTAAAAATTAATTTGAGATTGCCATTACAACAGTCTCATACCAATGTGGTTTAAAGTATACTTAATAAAATTAGCTGCTTGTCTGATGCTTTTTATACTGATCATGTATTGTGATCAGCATAAAATTAATTCACGAGTGCCTTCGTCACATTTTGCCTGCATGGTCTTATTTCACATACATAACAAGCAGCAGCTCTGCGTTTAATTACTTGAAATGCTAATCTCTGATAAATGTTTATGCTGCTTAAGAACTGTTTTATATATACAGTCAATTTTTCATTACTGGGAGCCATGGAGGTCTTTTATAACAGAGAAGCAGATGTAATATGACAACTGGTTTGTGCAGAGCCACCTTCACATACCCTGTTGGGGCAGATGCTGTAACAGACTGTGCAACAAGTGGGACCTGGAAGCCATATGGTGACATCTCTGTGGGAAAGGACCTTCCTCACACAGTTCCCAGCTTTCCCCACAGGAAGAATTTTTTGTCATATTCGCACCACAGCAGACTTGATTTTGTAACCATGACAGTCAGGCCAGGCTGAAGGGTGGATGAACTCTGCTGGAGGATAAAATGTCTTGACTCCAGTTTATGCCAGCTAGAGAGCTTTAGAGCATTGTATTTGTCTTCTTCCTCTGCTTTTATGTCAACAATATTCTTTTTATACAGGATTGTTGCTTTTTAAATGAACGTTGGGAAGACTGGGTGAGCACTTTAGATTGAGTACATTATCTAGTATATGTCTGTTCTCCTTTTGAACTCTTGAGATAAGTGTATCCCCACACCTGCTGGAGAGACCGGGCAGGTCTCCAATGTCTCTTGTCATGCAGGATTTAAAAAAAAACAGGAAACAAGTGAAGTTCTTTCCAGTTTCAATTTTGAATGTTCATATGTGGCACAAGTTCATGTATGTCTTGTATGCTTTTGGGGCTTTTTCTTGGTTTTATTTTTTTCCCCACCTTGTTATTTGTCTCTGTTGTGTTCTGGTATTTTCTTCTACTAGTGAAGTGGCTTTTGTTTTTGAAATAAAAACAGTTCTGTGCCTTTATAGTAGTTCATTGATGTCCAGCTACAGGCTGCTTTCTTGTTTTTACTTTGGTGTTGTCACTGGTGCTTTGTTGGATTACAGACATTACAGGCAGCATTGCTGAGCTGAGAAAGCAGGTTATAATGTCTGTAACAAGAACTGGTTTTAGAGTTTGCATGACTTTGAAGGAGGTTCTTGAGAATTTTGCAGAAGCTACAGACTTCACCTTCCTTTTAACAACAATGTTCTTTGGGTCTGATCTGCTGGTTGCTTTTTTTAAAAGCTTCTCAAATGCAAAATTAACATTGAGAAAGGAGATTCTTCTGTGTGCTCTGTGGCAAACATGGAATATATTGTCCTGTCAGTGACCTTGAATTTTTCGGGTTTTTTTGCTCTTGTTTTTCATCTGTCTCTTCTTTTGATCTGATGTCATTTTTTTTCAGCTGAGACTACGTACATCAGGGAAATCCAAGGTTATTGGATCAGGCCAGTGTCCTCTGAGCACAATCAAACATTATGAAAAGATCTGTGTACTCCTCTTGCCTTTCATTTGTCATGTCATCATCCATTTGTAGTGCTTAAGCCCTACCTATTAGGCATTTCCTGTTTGACCTCCTGTGTTCAGCATACTGACACTGTAGTTTGCATATATTACTTTTAAACTTTCTCCTTTGGGAAGATACTGCATGTGTGCTTTCCAGGAAAAAAAAAAAAAAAAAAAAAAAAAAAAAAGGAAGTCTCAGGAAAACCAGAAATTCAGAAATTGCAAACTTAACTGCGTAACTTTAGTGTTTTATGCTTAGCTGTTGAGGAAGGAAGACTTTCTGAAGATGACAAATTTTGCAGTAGGAAAGATTGTGTTTGTGAATGCTTTATAGCTTAGGAGTGATTGTAGTGGTTATTTTCACAGTGGTTTTATTCATGAGTCTGTAGGAAATGCAGTAGACAGTTTACTTCTGCTACCTGAAGAAGAAAGGGTTACCAGGTGATTTGGTGTCAGGTATTGCTGAAGAATTACTCTCAGCAAAAAGCTTTGTAATCTACACAGAGAGGTTCAGTAAATTCTGATTGGAAGCTGAAGTTTAGTAAATTCAAAGTAAGATTTAGACAATTAACTAGTACAGCCACATATCTGAAACTTTGCTAGATTTACAAACTTTGAAGTGTCTGGGTACCTCTAAAGTTTGTTTTCACAGATCAGACTAGATGGCCTCAAAGTCACATTCTGTCCTCTGTGAAAGCAGTAGCAGCCCTCCAGTACAAAGGAGGTTTTTCTAAAATTTGTCTCCATTTCAGTAGTGAGCTGCCAATTGGCCTGTAAACGTAATCACCGAGATTTTAAATTAAGTTTTATATACTCTTTTTCTCTTTCCTTTTGCAATTTCACATTATAGCTTGGTCTACAGTTGTTGATTCCCTGCTCTACAAAGATGAGCTTCACCATGCTCTTGGTAGGTGATATCAGTGCCATCACTGACCAGGGTAGGAATGAGTACTCAGCCTATGGGTAAAAGGTAAGTCAGCTTTTATTCACTATGGCACAGCTCTCTAAGGTTATCTTTTTATTATTCTTTGGAGAACTGGTCAATAATAAAGTGTGGTTATACCAGCCTTAGTTCCTAACATGTTTAAAATTTGGTTAGGTCCTTGAATTACAGTGTTTGGATTTTGGCTTTTAAACATTATAGTGAGTTTTTCTGTGTTTGACCACCCTCCCTTCCAAAAGGCAGGCTTCATGGGAACCATCTTGCTGCTACATAGGACTACTTCTACCTGGAACCAGTAGCCAAATTTGGTTTCTCTCCAGTTGCTCAGGTGCAGCTATTGTCAAAAGAAGCAAGGAAGCCTGTGAGGCAGAATCCTAAGTACTGGCTATGGGGTAAAAAGCCAACTCTTGCCATAAGTCCCCCAAGTAGTGCTTCTAATTCCAGCCATTCATCTCCCCACACAGCTGGAATTGAAGCTATTCAGTGCTTGTCACTGCCTGGCTCACTCACAGCTGCTGAGCAAATCTCACCTAGATTTATAACTGAGAGGCAGCACCTTTGTCTCCAGTGCTGCTTCTGCAGAATGAGCATAACTGGGGAGGTGATGGTTCTTGTCCTGGGTGCCACTGTGCTGTCTCTGGCACGTGCAGCCCAGCCAGCTTCTCCCTGGCACTGTTCACCTGGCCCCTGGCCCCTGTGCCTATCCAACAAAACTAATGGAAAATGAGAGTCGTTTTCATCTCAACTTAAATTGACTGCTCTGTTGCACTCAAGGACTTACCTAAGTTTTAAAAGTGTGATTAGGGAATAAAAAAGTATAAGCACCCTTTATATAAAAGCCAACTTACATTTTCCACATCAGTTGAGTTGTTTCTTCAGCCAGACTCGTTAAACTTGGTTTCCCTGTCTGTATGCACTCTGGGACATGTTCCTGGGAATCCATGATCTCCAGCTATTTGCTTTTGTGAACTAACTTGCAAAAGGAAAAAGATAAATTTCTTACTGGTATAAATACATGCTAGGTCAGAGATGTGTGTTGGTAAGAAATTTTACTAAAAATCTGATATTAGTCTAAATCTTGCATTGATGGGGCAAGATTATTCTTGGTAGCTACATTATTTGCATAGAAAATGGAGATCTTAAGCCTTTTAATTAAACTGGAATGTGTTTGTTGTGTGGGGTGGCTTTAGCTGATTGATCCAGTTGGGTCGTATCAGAAGTTAGAATGGTGGTGTCTCATACATGGATTCCTGACCACATTAGGGTGTGTAATACTTCTCCTCTGTAAGAGGAAAACAAGTGCAAGGAATTTGTTCAGGACATCTGAGATTCAGGAGTTAAATTTAAATCTCCAGTCTTTCAGTCTGCCGTCTCAATAAATGTGATATTTCGCGTAGGCTCTTCAGCCTTCTTGACCATCATCAGAACACCTAAACTATCCTATATTTCACATGCCATGCTCTAAATGCAAAAGTAAAAACCACCCCAGAGATTCATTTATTTTTTTCACTGCTGGGTGAGCACGGTGAATCGGGAACAAGCAGACACACACTATCTTTTGTAGTTAGAAAAACTTTAGTTTTCTAACTGTGATGTATCTGGGAGCTGGCATTGTGAATGGTGCTGCCTGCATACAGCCGTATCAAACTCTGTGCTTCCCAGTTAACTTGTAGTGCTTGAAGTCAGCAAAACTACTGCATTCTGATTTTTTTTTTCCTTCAAAGAGAGAACAGCTATTTTCAATTATATAACAGACTTGTATTTTGGTTTTTTTAATTAAGCATATAATACCCATAAATAGGTAATTCTGGACTTTCGGCAGCAGCAATATTTGGGCTGGGAGTTCTTTCAGCTTAAAACTTGGCAATGATACAGCTAGGTGTGTCACCATGGTCTGAATGCTTTCACAAATATTAATGTGTATCTTACCATCACTCCCTTTTCAGCACTACTTGAAGGTATCTTAAACATAGACCTACTAAATAACTTGGCCATAGTTACTCAGAAAGTCTGGGGCAGAGTTTTGAATTGTTTGAAGCCTAAAACTCCTGAGTTTTACTTTACAATATTCTATCAGTGTGACAGCCTTCAGTTTTTTGTTTCTGTTGCACTCAGTACAAATTATTTCCAAACGTTTAGGTACAGAAGGAATCCATGTGATTATATGTGAGGGACGTGTTGTATTTGCTGCCTAAAGCTCTGGCAATATTTATGTGATGTTTACTTGCTGAGATTGTGTTGAAACTGTTGGATAGGACTGTGGCTGTTCTGACTCTAGCAGATCTCCTTGCAGGCATTTCTTCAGTGATGACATTTTTATTTCATCTAGCCTTTTCTTCTGATAGTATATGTGTGCTGCATGGATAAGTGCTAGGGAGTTGGGTAATTTTTTTATTTCCCCGAGAGTTACTTGGTATAGATCAGCTTTCATAAAAAACTGTCTGCTACTTATACTGGGGTGGGTTTTCTTTGATTCATTACCCTGAGAAATAATGACGTCAGATTGGGTTGCTCAGACCTGTTAGAAGACAGAACTAGACATCCTGCTGTAACAGGCAGCTTGACCAGCATTAATTGTGTGTTTTATAGTTTTATAGTGTCAGGGAACTATGACTGAACCTCTCCATTGTTTTGATCCAGACTGGTGTCAAACTAATTGACCTTAAGTGGCCCTGGCTGCTGCCTTTTCAAAATTGACACACTGTGGTGATTTCAGCCTTTGTAGTTTCCGTGTTGTCCCACGTGCAGTCGTCTTGGTCTCCTCAGCTCTTCCAAGAGCCTTGTTTTCTATGTTTGCTGATGTACATGCCCGTCCCTAGGTGAACATGCTACAGCCTCACTGAACACATCAAAACCAGCTTCATCCTCACGTAAGCAGAGCTTTGTGCATGTTTCCAGGGAACAGAGCTGTCCACCTTCTTGGCATCATAGCTGACTGTTCAGCCACGTCCAGCTGATTGAGGTCTTGTAACACTGCCGCTGGTTGTGACTGCTCAGTGCAATGAAAAGGCATCACCCCCATGGTCCTAAAAGAGCAGCTGGAACTGTCTTCACAGCAGGGCTCACACATGCAGTGGGGGATTTTGCACTGGCAGAGTGTGAAGACAGCAGTTTTGTTTTGCTGTTCTAGAAGGGTGAGAAAAGCATCCCATGTTGATTCGGCAGTATGGCGATTTGTCTTGATGCCACTGTGGGATTCTTTCTTATATTTTAAAAGCTCTTAATAATGGCTGTAATTCAGAAGTGCTTTTAAATCCTTTTCCCATCGCCTGTCATCATGTTCATCATCCTTTTGTTTTGAGATGTTCTTTGATCAGCCGAGCCTCTGCACAAGAACTGTGTTATATCTCCCTCCTCATTCAAGTGAATTTTCTCTAGTTCTGGTTCTTTGAAGGTATTCCAAGGATTTGTTTTCCAGCATCTGTGTGCAGAGTACAAAGGTCTGCTTTTGTTGTTGCCTGTGAGGTAGTCTGCACATGTTTGAGACTTACTTTTTAAAACCACAAACAAAAGACCACTTTTTTTTTTTTTTTTCTTTTTTTTTTTTTTTAGCAGAGTATTATAATTGGCCTAGTTTGAGATCTTGCTTTCCTGTACAGCTCAAAAGTGACTGGAAGGTTGTGGGGCTACAGAATAGTGGCAGATGGTGACATACAGCTAATAAGCAGGGGCTTGAGCTCAGCTGTCAGTCAGAAGGCCCCAAAGCTTTTGAACAGAGGATTTCCATCCTGCCTCCTGCCAGGAGTTCAAGCCCTCAAAGTGAAAATCCTGTGAGATAGCATCTTCAAAGTAGTAGAATTAGAGGTAATTTCTCCAAAACACTGTATTTGAAATAAAAATAAGAATAAATCACTCCACCTAAAAGGGCATACCTTCTTCAGATAGCTAACTCAGAAGGGCATTACACTTGTGAAATTTGACATTAGCTACTGCTCACTGAGAAACACATCCAGAATCTTAATTTGAAAGGGGGAGGGGGAAGGGGAGAAGAGTGATTGGGAAAATGAACTGCTGGCAAGGCTGCAGTGGTGTGTTCTGTGCTCGTGGTGACTAATGAATCTTTGCCCTCTCAGTGGCAGCAAACACGCACAACTGCCTGGCCTTGTGAGCCCCACAATTACTGCTGGAAGGATTACTAGGAAATGGAAGTGAAGAACAATTCTTTGCTGTTGCACATAACAAACTGGAAGGGATTTATTGGCATTAGGTAGTTTTTTTACTTGCGAGTTAGGAAGATGTATCTGCAAGTCCTTCAGTTCTGTGCAAATTTTTTCCTGTAGTTTGAGAAGAAAAATTTTTTCAAATGTTAAAAATATGGGCAGTACTCCCTCTAAAACACCTGGGCTGCTGTGTTTGTACTCTTTGGAGAAAGCCCAGGCTTGAGGTAAGAGCTGTTGTCCAAGCAATGCCTGGCCTTGCTTTATCCTTTGCTTGTATATTTGGCATGCTCAGCAGCACACAAGTGATTGTGTGCACAGTCCTGAATCCTGCAATAGCTCACTGGAGATGCTAAGGATCACACTTGGCCAGTCATGATTCCGCCAGCTCTTCCATCCTCCTAGGAGAGGAAAATAAATTTCTCCTGGGTTTTGTTTTTTTTCAGAGCCAAGCAAGAAAAAAAGCTAAGGGTAGGTACATACCCACAAGAGAGTTTGGAGAAGGGTAGCAGAATTGATGCTGTATTCTTTTTATGTGCCTTATATGTCCTCCAGGCTTCCTGCTTGGTCTTGTTGAGAGTGGAGAACAAAGGAGTTAAATGTAGTGAAACCATTTGTGTGTTCCTCATAGTTAAAGCTGCACAAAGAGATCAGTTTGATCAAGGTCCTTTGTATATTTAAAATAGAAATGTAACATCTGATATCCTGACACAGCCTCTCCACAGTGACACTGCTGACAGAAACATACACGGATGGTGAGGACACTGTCGAGTGGCAGAACAAAAATAAATCTGTCTTGCATGTGCTTTTTACAAAGCCTAAGGAAAGGGCTGTTTCAATAAAATATTTTTGTGATGGATATGGTAGAACATTTGAGGTTTTAGTTCTGTTTTGCATTTGCTTTTTGTAAGCATGTTGGTTTACACTGGCAAACTGAAGGTCAGAGACACTGAAGAGTTACGTTTGTGCAATGGCTTTGTGGAAGGATCTGGTTCAGTTTGGGGTGATGGCTCATGATGCCTCATGAATAACTAAACTCACCTGTGCAGGCTGAGTGAAGTGGAAAAAGTGTGTGCATTGTGCAATGTTATGTGCAAAGGATTAAAAGATAATGAGAAAGGTATTTTTAAAAATGTTAATGCATTTTTTTTAAGAACATTTTTTTTAAGTATTCTGCTGCCTGTGTTAAGTCTCCCACCTGTTAGTTGCTGTGTGCCTCAGAGGGTGGCCCTTGCAGCTGCAGTGCTGTCATTGCAGACAGAGGGATAAAAGCACATGACGCTGGTTTTGGTTTGTGTGTTCACAGTACTTGTGTGCAGTCACGAAGGAAGCAGCCGGAGATGTGGTGGACAGGGGGACCTCCTTTCTGGTTCTCTTGGAGTCTTGGCACACTGGGCGTTTGTTGCTGGAGCTGAAAAAACAAATGGGTATGAATATTAATTAATCACTTATTGCTGTGAGTCTGTGTTCACCTATGGTAACTGTTGTAGACCTGCTATTTTATAAATTTCCAAGTGGAATTGGAGATTTTGGTAAGAAAATATCCATGTACTTTTAAAAAGAGTGTTCTAGAGCAGTCTACATAACAGTAATAATTATAGTAAGACAAACCCTTCAGTAATCTAACATCTCCCAAGTCTGGGGCAGAAGAGGAGCCTCTGGATCTGTTCATAAGGACATTTATGTATGAGGTATGTGTTTTCAAAACAATTGAATGTAGGCAGAAAGTAGAAAGGATAAATAAGTGGTAGTCATTGGCAATAACATCTCTGTAATTCAAAAGACGTGTTGTTTGGCTTTGTTTTTTCTATGCTGGTGAATCCTCCTGCATTGTGGCCATGTAATTCAGTGGGGCAGGTATGTTGAAACTTGCAAATAAAATACAACTTCAAAGAGAGTAAATCTTTTAAGGCCAAATGGCAGTCCACTTTGGTTGTACATAAAGCAGCCATGCAGATGGCTTTTGGCTTTTTAGTTAAATTACATCAGTTCCTGCTGAACTAGCTGGTTCAGATAGTCATGGAGTCTTTCTGTGAAAGTATCAGCTTCAAATAAAGTTGAAAGGAATGTAAGCAGTCAGGGAGTTAGTCTCTCTTTTCAGTAAGTCAGGAGCTGTGGAAGCTCGAGGAGTGGAGACCTGTAGTCTTTGGGATGCTGCATGTGCACAGTATCAGATGTCCCCAGGAGTTATCCAGGCTGTGTTTGTGTTACCACAGGGGCACTGCACAAGGTGCCCCAGGCTTCAGAATTCTAAAATCTAACACACACAATCTTGGTTTCCTTTGTCGTTCTGGGTATCTGAATTTGCAGCTGCCACTAAAGGAGGAGTTCTGTTTTAAGTTGTTAAAAGACTGACTTCATTTTTGCATGGGGTACAGCACAGCAGTATTAAATTGCTGGAGAGATTAGCAAACACAGCATGTGTTTTCCAGGCTCTCCTGACTTGAGCTCCTGTGGCTTTTCTAAACAGCTCACTCAGAATCTCCTTTATTTTATAGATGAAGGAAAAGTATAATTGGCATGAGCAATGCACTGTGTCTCCTGCAGTGGTGTTAAGGTGACCCTTCACAGACACCTGCTGTACCAATCCTGCCTGCCTCATGTGTTGCAGGAAAGGAGGAGCTTTTTGGGTTCAGTGAGTCAGGGCATCTGTTCGGAGACTGCACTGCAGGCAGCCCAGCCAGTCCTTCCAGCTTGTGCCTGGCTCTGGCATTTCAGAATGGCTCTGTACAGAGAGGTTTTCAAACACTGAGATTGCACAGGCTTTTCAGGGGTGCTAGTGGTACAGTAGGCAGGATTCCTCACTTGAGTAGAGAGGATGCTGATGTGTTTGGTGCTTTAGCTCCTTGAGCCCAGGAGCCTGTACACAGCTCTTGTTTCACAGCAGTATTTGGGCATCAAGGATTAACTCTCAAGGTGGTTTAAATACACCTGCACCTTGATGAGTACATGGAAATTTTGCTTAGGTAGCATCTAATTGTAAAGTCATGTCCTGCTTTGTCTGTGTTTTACATTGGGATCCTTCACAAAACTCTCACTTGGCAGAGGAGTCAGGAGGTCTTCAGTGTGTTCCAGGCAGCAATGCTCAGCTGAGTCTGAGCTTTTTGAGGTTTTTGATCTGCCAGACCTGAAGCACAGCACTGGCTGCTGAACTATTCTGCAGTTGTTTTCTGTTTTAAGGCAGCGGATGAAAAGCAGCCTATGAAAAGATGCTCTGGAGGTGAAAGGTGGAGGTGGCTCTGGACTGTGCTGGCTTCTCTGGGGGAGGTTCAGCATTACAGATCTGGGTCTGGGTACACATTCGTGGGTAGTTCATAAGTGTGAAGAGGCATTACAGCAGTGCTTTAGCTTGTGGTCTTCACTTGCCACTGTACCCTTTTAAAGTGATCTAGTGAAGGCCCTGGAGCAGACTCTATGGCCCTGCTGGAAATCATTTCTTGTCTGCAGCCCCATGACCTTCCCCCACGCTGCAAGACAAAAACTAAATGGAGTTACCCAGATAATGGAGAGGAAAGGGAGCCGAAAGGCTGTCAGGTGAGCCTTCGGTCTTCCTCTGAAGGAAAGCATGAAGCTTCACATCAGTAAAACTAGATGCAGAACACCTTCTCCACTTTTTAAGCCTGTTGGCCTTTTGGGTGCTTTGGCCCTGGTGGTGTTTCTCACTCAGTCACATGCCGTGCCATGGGTAGGGAAGTATTTGATTCAGAAAAATCACATGAAGATGCTCTGCAGTGCAAGAGTGAGAGCATGTTTGCTTAAGAGGCCTTCCTGGCGGTGCTAATATTTATGGGTATAAAGATGATGTCCACCACCTCACAGATTGCACAGAAGTGTTGGGATTCTCTTTATAATGTTGTTTTTTGGTTTTTTCTTCCTTTCAGTCAAAATCCCTTTCTAGTGGCTGCATTTGGAGCTTGCTCTCTCACGAGGCAGTCTAACCACCAAGCCTTTCAGAAATTCGGACGTTCAATGACAGCCTCTGACATGGTTTCAGAAGTTGGAACAGCTTTTAACAAACTTTTTGAAACCTGAAGCCAAAGCAGCAAAGAAGAAAAGAACAATGACTGCAAGAGTAATTACATGTACCGTAGAATTTACATAATGCACCCTTTCAAGTGCTGTAGCAGCATTGGTATGTTAGGTAGATTTTTTTATTTTTAAGAATAGAAAAATATGATTAATGTAGATATTTTTTAAGAGTTTGGAATACAAAAATGTTTTGGCTGAAATAAGCTGTAGTTGCAGATCTGTTATAATATAATAAAACTAAACTGAAAGTATTCCTCTGTTCTTTTTGATAGTTATTGAGCAATAACTAAAGTCTGAACAGCAAAAAAAAAAAAAATGCACTTGATACTTAGATAAAATTCTTCCACCAGCTCAACTGAATTTCTTGGATTTCACCAAGGTTGTCACTTGTCATTCTTAGACCCTCTGTCTAGAATTAGCTATTGCACTTCATTTTTTGCTATGCTAGTAGAGTAAGAAACAAAAAGTAAGCCTCTTTGGAAAGGGAATGCATGAGAGTTGCTGTAGATTTTGAATGTAGTTAGTTGCCTTCTCCCATTCCTGGTCCTAGAGGCAGCATTCATTTAGACAAGGCATCCCTTCCTGCAGTGTCTTGTTAGTTTTTTTAAAAGGTTCCCCCTTGGCGGAATAAAGATACGCTGTAGGTATCTTGGCAGTAAAATTCATTAATAATTAGGCTTACCTGGAAAAGAAATAAATTTGTGTTTCTTTATCTGGTCTTGACTAAACATAATGAACTTGTGAAATTGTCATTTGGAGAGGTACTAGGTGGGGCACAAAACTCGGTGATACCCAGCAGAACTCGTTCAGATCTCAGTGATCATGGAAGAGTGAAGTGCTTCTAAAATTCCAGCTGCCTGCTGGGTTAGAGCTCAGAGCAGCCCAGCACACAGATCTGTAGGTGGACAGCGATGAGCCAGCGGGAATACAAGTTGAAGGAACAAAAGGCAGCCCATGGCTCGTACCTGTACCTTCGGAGCAGAGTGCAGGCAGCACGTGCTGCAGGTCAAAGGCAGGAACAGAAATACGGTGGTCAGTCTTTGAGCTTCAGGTGCAGTACTTAGTATTGCAAAAAGCAGGAGCTTTTAGAGCAAAAAGCATAGCGGCTTTTACTTGATCTTTGCAGGACAGACAGACACTGATCTGGTGCACTGGCAGAGCAGGCAAGCATTAGGTGTAAAGCAGAACTTCCGTGGGCTTTTGCACAGGACCATTCCTTAAATTTTTGGAGATTCAGTCAAAGCTTGTAGAGACTGAACACGATTGGAGAGGGAGGCAAGTTCATGCAAAGAAAATTTAAGTGGGTGCTGCCCTTGACCCTCCAATCCAGCTCCAAGCGTTGCTGCTCATTGTAGTGCCGGAAGAAGCACAGAACACAGGGGATGTTGCCTTTCAGCACAGCCACCCCTGCAGTGCTCCCAGCTGGAATGTGGTGTCCCAGACCACTCAGACTGTTCTCATTCCTTGCAATAGCTGCCTGCAGAAAGCACCCAGAATCAGAAAGGCTACTCCAAGTATTTTCCTTCAGCCCTTAGAGTTGGTATTTATGGATGCACTGTGACTACTACCTCACCCTGATGCATTTTTCTTTTTCTTTTTAAACCAGTTACCTATTTTTAAAATAGGTTTTTCAGTGTTTGCTTGTGTTGCTCTATGAGGGTTCACAGACTACTCTTAAGAAATGAGGTTTTAGTGTTTAATTTAAGCAGTTTTGTAAACTGTCTGCATCTTTGGGGAAACTTAAGCTATTATTTCCCCCCCCTTAAATGTATTTGAGAAACCTGACTACTTTTAAATGAAATCAGAAAGTTAAAACTGATTTTAAAACAGCTACTGCCTTTATAATAAGTGATTTTTTTCTTGTGATTAGAATATCAGTGGTATTATACACTAAATGACATGTAGTCAAAGTCAATCAATTAACAGCTCAGTACAGATTTCAACTTGTCCTGTTGGTTTTAAAGCTACACAGAAGTTGTAACTCTGTTATTCACTAATGTATATGAATTGTTACAATTTTTAAACATTCTGGAAATGTAGCAGTTTCTTTTGGTAGGAAATAAAAATAATAGCAATTGACTGGAATTTGTTTGGTGTGTGCTGATCCCATTTGCTACAGCAGCTGAGCTGCTGCTCACCATTAGCTCTGTTTTGCTAGAACACTGCCACGAACAAATGTACAATACCAGCTGTGTCAAATAAGCACCTGTGCCCCAGTGCTGAATGAAGAGACACCCCACTCTTCTCTGGAAGTACAGATAATGTAGCAGAAAAAGAGCTACACATTTCATTCTCAACAGTATAAAAGAAAGCCTTTATCCTTTTGAACAGATACTTTGAAAACACACAAGTGCCTTGCAGATGAACCCATGGTCTTGGTTCTTATGTCTTTGTAAATTGATTTAAAGAAAGTGGAGGTAGCAGGTAAGTACCAGCCCTGTATCAACACAGGCCCTAGAACACAGGTCACCTCAGGTGTAAGAGAGGCTCTGCCCACAGACAGCAGCCATGGCCAGCAAAAAGGTAACTGAACAGGTTAAACTTACTTTATACTAATACATATACATCCTAATTTTATCTTCCCAATTCTGGAGAGATCCTGAGCATGCTACATGCCCAGTGCTAGAGAAATCTTGTATGCTGTGCAAAAGCAAACAGAAGTACCAAGCCTTACAGGTAACTGGACACCATATTATTACAGGTAAAGGTTTCACAGGATCAAAGCAGCACCACTGCAATAAGGAAATACTTCAAGGTTAAAAGTACCCCCCATTCCTATGTCTGAAAGGAAGAGAATTGTCAGACAAACAAGCATAAAACTTAAATGTTTTCACCTTAAAGACAGGCCTAAGTGCTTGCCTCTGCCCTCCCTATGTTTAAACTCTGCCTCAGGTCAGCAACAGGGGCTGAGGGCAGATGACGAGCCTTTGGCTGGGGCAGTTCCTGCAGTAGAACAGAGCCATGCCTCATGGTGTTAAATCAGTGCAGCTGCTCCTGTGCTGCCTTGCATTCTGCATGCTCCCACCACCTGTGCTGCAAGGCCTGTATTTATTTACCAAGTACTAGTGCCAACAGTTTTGCTCAAATTGCATGCTATCATTTTTAGCCATTCTGTTCAACAGATTTTATTTTGAAAGAATTTGTATTTACAACAGTTGCTGAAGTAGCTGAAATAAAAAACAAGTCCAAGGATGAAGGATCAGCTTTTTTTCTCAGTCTGCTTCTCTGTCTGGCCTCCTTCCACAATTTCCCAGGTTGAAACAGCAGCTCTGTCCTGTAAGAGAAAGTAAGCAGGTCAGTCCTGCCCAACTGGATCACAGGTTTTTTAACCAACACACACTCAGCAAAGCTATTCATCCAATTGAGCAAAAGAGGTGGCAATACAATCTCACAGGAATGCCACTGCTACTGATAATGCTCAGAGTTGTAAAACAAAACTAGACAATTTTTCCTATCTCAGAGGAAAGAAATACAGAGTAGAAATGTCACCTCTTCAGTGTGGAATGCTGCAGCAGGATGCAGCCTTTCATACGAGTAGCTACACTCAACTCATGCAATCTTATTTTCAAGGCTCAATGGCTCATGTTCCTGTCTCATATTGAGAAAAAAACTCAATACATACAAATACATTGCTGAACATGTTTGATCTGAACTCAGGACAGAAGCCTGCTGGTTTTTGTCTCTGTAATGTGATACTGTCATATTTTTGAACAGCAATATTACAGCTACATTAAACATTCTATTTAGAACCAGCTGTATGATTGCAATGGTTGAAAATAAAAGTTAATCTGAACATTGACACACAACGTTCCATGAGCACTGACTAATGAGAGCAACTAGAATTGTTGAATCTTTTTTTACATGAAATTGAAAACTTTTTGATGTCTAAATAAAAATGAAAACTTTTTGATGCCTAAACACATTTTACTTGGTACCATAGGTTCCAAGCATCCACAATGACAAGACGTGGATTTTTTTAAATCAGTCTGTTGCAAGATATGTAACTTCAGCCAACATCCTTTGCAAGGAGCAACCTGACAGAAGAAACCAGACTAGGGAAATGACAAGCTAGAACCTGAAGGAGAAACTACCCTTTCTACAAAGCTGATTTTTAAGAAAATTAAGCTTCTATTCAAGCCACACTCTCCCGGCCCTGCCTCCAACCAGGCGGGTTCCCAGTCTGCACTGGATGGAGCTGAGGCTTGTCTGCTTCATCTGTTCTGCTGCTTTTCCACCTGCACATGGACTTCAGGAGTTGCTGGCTCGCTTGAGCCTCACGTGACAGAGGGCAGCGTGCTGGCATTAATGCATGCACACTGAGAGGTTCAAACATTTTGTGGACATGAGGGCCTGGGCAGAAATGAGAAATTCACGTAACTTCCTCAAGCAATTATTAGGCAAGCAGGACCCCTGTTAGGTGCTGTTTTACAGGGGCATTTTGGCATCAGCTGACCCAGCCATGCAGACTCATGATGAGCAAGAGGGTGGGGAGAGCCCTGATTTGTGTAGGCTGTGTCTTGTTGCACATGTGCTTTGGTGAGCCTGTGTGAGGAACTGCAGAGCTGCATTACTCAGTCTGCAGGATTCTTTGGGATCTGCAAAAGCAAGCTGTAAGCTAACTTCACAACACGCCTTCAGCTACTTCCACAAGTAGTATCAGGAAAAAAAGGAGGAGTTCAGCTTCAGATGCTTGCTCTGTGTGTGCTCGTAAGTGCATTTATGCTGAGCTTCAGGTCATTAAGTTTTTTTTTTAAATAAATTGAATGGTTTGAATCTTGGCTCAAACTAATTTGTGGGGTTTTTAACTGTAAATCCCCTTAAAAACAAACAAAAACAGATATGCAAAAGAATGGAGGTGGAGCTGCAGCATTTTTCCAATAGATGAAAAGGCAGGCTGCTTCTCCAAGACTGTCTCAGCACAGCTGTTTGGATTTGCAAAGTTGCTTGACAGGTGAGAGTAGTGGGGATTTACAAACAAGTTAAGGGCAGCAGATGTTGCAGCTTCCCTTTCCTTTCACAGCTGCAGCTCACCACCACCACCACGCTCTGCCCTCACCCCGGATTTTGCTGGCACGCTCGCTGTCATCCAGGAGAGGAGAGCGCTGACCACGCTCTGCTCCAACAGGAGCGGCGACAAGTGACAGCCCTCACGCTCAGCAGCTGGAGCGGATGTGTGCTGACACTCCCTGATGTCATTGTGCTTTCCATCCTCCCACTGGTAAAACGATGGGACCAGACTTGCCAGCATCAGTTCCCAAGGAAAGGAAAAATGAACAGTATGAACTGGATGGAGGAAGAGAACGATGGAGGATTATTGTGCACTCAAGGAGCAACGCTGACCCTCGCCTCACAGAGGCAAGAAGGGCATTGACCAAGAGAACTGGAAGAAGTAGCACTTTAAAGAAGTAATGCAGGTCCTTGGAACCAGGAAAAGGCAGTAGTGCCATAGAGAGTCTTCTCTCGAGCCAGAGATTCCATTGAGATAATGGGAAGAACACTGGCATTAGGTGTAGGCTAAAAGTAGAAAGATAGAGAGAGGAGCAGTACAGGAATCAGGCAAAGTCCCTGTGGCTCAGGAACAATTGGGAATGAAGCACTGAAGATGGAAGAGGCTTTCTAATGAAGACTTATTTTTGGTGGGGAGTGTGGGGTAGGTAGAAGGAAGGCATTATTTTCACAAGTCAACTCGGTTTACTTTCCAGTTCCTTTGCAATCTTTTTTAAAGACTGCACACATTACTCACACCCTTCCTTCTGGACTGAACTTGGGCAAACTTAGGGATTTCTGAATAACATGGGATTTTCATACTATGAGTGGCTTGCATGGAGACACAAGGCTGAGGGGGAGCAGAAGAGAAGGCAGCAGTATAGCCAAACAAAGGCTTGACTTCCACCTCCTGCTCTGCAGTCACACAGGGAGCAGGGCACCACACCACAAGCTCATGAAGGGGAATGAAGGACAAAAATATGTTTTATCTTAAAAAGTGACTGATTCTCACAAAGAGGGTTACTGTCTTCTACCTTTATGTGGATTCCAAAGGCAGCAAGGTCTCCACGCAGACTGTCACAAGCCTCCAAGAGGGGCTTTCTCTCCTGCATTAACTGCTTCCTCTTCTCCTTCTGCTCCTGCTTGGGTTCCTCGGCTCCTGCTGTTTCCGGCAGAGCCAGCGCGTAATGCCGGACCTTCGAGCGGAACCTCACCAGCTCTTCAATGACATTGGAGAGCACTGCAGATTTGTCTGCTCCCACAGCCACCTAGAAATCAAACAGGGGGCTTTACGAACATCTGATATTTAAAAAAATCAACATCTGATATTAAAAAAATCAACCCCATCTCCATAGCAATGCGAGGCTTTATCACCTCTCTTAGTTGCGCACCGTCCACATATTTGTAGGATTAAAATGTCACCATCTCACTAATGCTGGACAAAAAGTTACAGTGGGGTCACACTTGGAAGTAATTCAGCATATTGCTGCACAAGAAAGCATTTACCTTGGAGCAGAGTGCTCTCACATGAACACAACACACAGCATAACCCAAATGGGGAATTCATCTCCACAGAAAACCTCGGATACGCCAGAAATGTGCGTAACTTAAAAAGGGATCTGACAAGTTAATGTAAGTAACGCCTGGCAACAGGAATCCAACAAAGCAAAGGAAGCCTAGCCACCAGTTCAGACAGTTCCTTGGTTATAAAAGTCAGAGACACAGAATACACCAACTCCTTACTCTGTCTTTGAGCTCCAGACCACCTTCAGGAAACACAAATCAGGAAAAGTAATTATGTTGGCTTTAAGTCTCCAGTCCATCCTATCTCTTCTCCTTTCATCTACAGAAACCCTTCCCAAATCCACAGAACTTTCATCTGATCCACTTTACCCAAACTTTCAGCCACTCAAAAAAAAACCTGACAGAAGCAGCAGCTACTGCACACAGGGCGTGGATATTTCCTGGCTGCAGCCGAGCCCCTTCCTCCCCTCAGCCACTTCCAAGCGTCCCTGGCCTCCTCTGGCTTGGCAGGAGTCTCACTGGTCAATGCCTCAGGAAAGGAAAAGACTCACTCCTCCTGCAGAGTCCTGCTCCAACAGCTGCCAGGACAGGAGCTTGGAGTCGGCTGAAGAGGAAGGCCACTCCTCAGCACTGGCACAGCCAGGCTCCTGATCTCACTCCTGGCAGAGAGACCATCCCTGTTTCTCATTAGAGGCAAATTCCCAATGGGGAGCAAAAGGACAAACCTCCAACAAACAAGAGAACCTCACCGTGGTGTTTTACCACTAGGACACGAGAGCAGGAGCACAAGCACACCAAGGCCACAGGCAGAGCTCCTGGCAGCAACATCATCTGGGAGCAGAAGGGCAGCTGAGTAATTGAGGCCAGAAGGGACTGGGTTTAGTCACCAAACAGCAGGATGAAAATGAAAGGGAGCAGAGCTTCAGAGGTCACAGACAAAGAGGAGCAGGAGGAAGTGAGGGGGAAGCTGTTGAAGATTAAGAGTTTGAAATGCAGTGAATTCCCCAAAATATGCAACCATACTAAAGAAAAAGTTTATGAGATTGATAAAGGTAATAAATCTAAGTGCCAGAACGCTCCATAGTAACCTGTGGCAGGATAAATATTTAAATACAGAAGGGAAAGCCACGATGACGGGAACAAGAAACATGCCTCTACAAACACCACTGAAAGAGTTCAAACCAGGCACCTAGTGGAGTGAGCGCCTTCAAAAGGAGGACCAGCTTTAGGAGATGAACCAGTCTGCCACATAAAACAGCCTCTCAGGGCTGATCTCAAATTTCTGGCCCTTGCTTACTCCACAGATTGGCCCCAGCTGCACCTGCAATACACTCAACACTCAGGACTCTTTGGGAGAGCAAAAGCTTCCCAGTTCTAAAACAGGCACGATGGTTTTCACACATCACCTTTCCAGATGGATTCATCTTACCTCCCTGTGGATAAGATCTTCTCTTTCCAATGCAGAGGGAGAGACAGGCTCTCTTATTGTAATACAGCACTAGACTGAGATGAGCCATTCCTTAGCATCCCCACTGATGACTTCAGAAGCACAGGCAGCTACATTAGGCTGATTAGCTGAGATGAATCCCAGCCCAGGAGCAAGACAGACCCACAAGCTACATGCAAACATCCAAATGAGGGGGCCCAAACACCGCTGCCTGTATCCTCTGCACTGTTAGCACAGCAGTGTCCAGGCCAGGCAGCCCTCTCCCACACATGCCAGCACCCACTGTGGTCAGGGACTGCTCCTGGCAAGCTGCATGCCTGGGGCTGCCTGGCTAAGAGGCAAGAAAGGCTGGATGCTGAGCTGTTCTGGCTGGTCTCAGAGTCAGGGAACAATCTCTACACCATTTTATTTACTAAACTGTGGACCTTTCTGATGAAGATTTTGACAGATTTGTTTACTGGAAGCTGAAAGAGCAGAGGAACAGAGCTGATGAGCTGCTCCTTTCTTCCTGCTTATCTCAGACCAGCATCTTCTGCTGATGCTCCTGCCACACAGAGAAAGGGACTAGCACAGCCTAAAACAAAGAAAGGCATTCAGATACGTGTTTCAGCAGAAATATAGGTGCAGCAGATGCCTGCATACAGACAGCCCAGAATCTGGAGGAATGACTTTGCCACCCAGCTAACAAAAAAAATGTGTTTAGTATGCCACTAAAAATTTACATGCAAACTACAGGCTGTGAGGAGTAACACATAGACAAATCACAACCAGACACTGTTTTGAAAGACATTTTGTGAGAAAATCCATTGAGGCAAACTAAATAAATGCATTTACCACTACATTACCTGATTTTTGAAGGATGAATACTGTTACATACATTTTCTTATTCTCTTCTCCCCCATCCCCAAAATAACTGTTCTGTTTTGCAGAAAAGTTTCTCTACAGAAACTTTTCCACTACTTTGCATTCAGCTCCACATTTGAGCAGGAGAGGAGCAAAGAACACCCTGCTATTCTCCAATAGTGAAGTGTCATTTTAAAAGCTTCCATAGGTTGGGATATCACCTCCATATTGATGACTCTCCTTCCCGTTCAGTACTTTGCTTTGAGCTGTTCTCTCCTTTTTTTTTCTCTCCCCATTCCTATCTTTCCAGGAACTAGTTATGTAAGGGCCCCATCCCCAGCTCATTGTCCTCCCCTCCCCATATCCCCCCCATGGCTCAAGGCAGAGCAGTCCCTTCCCTTGGCTTTTTGCAGAGGAGTGGGATCCCTCACAACTGCAAATATTCACACAGCTATTGAAGCGAGCCTGGATACAACCATCAGGAAGAAGAGGAAAAGCTGGGGAAGGCCAGAGACATTACAGGACGATTTAAATGCCTCCAATGCCTTTTTCTTGTTTCATTCCTCAGTCTTTCATTTCCACAGCAAAACTGGTGCAGAAGTCACATGGGAGTACTTCCAAGAACTAAAAAGCCCACACTTTGTTCCACCTGCTCATATACTCTCCTAAAACATCACAGGAGAAACTGCAAGCAGTGCAGAAAGGTTTACTAAAACCATAAATAACTTTGTTACATCTGATGCTTTCAGAAAGCACTCTATGAAACACAGGGGCTGCTACCACATCCTTGAACACATAGAAGAGATATTTCATTACCTGTCTTTCTCCAAAGGACATCCCAAGAGCACTGAAAAAGCCTTCAATATAGGAAATAATGCTTCCATACACAACAGAGCTTCTAGGAGATCCAGCATCCTGTTTAGAAAACACTCAAAAGAGATTGTCCAGTCAATACACATTACAGAGCCCAGCATCTCTCTGCAGCCTAATCCACAAGGGAAAACTACTACTAATTATAAAGATCTACCTCCATCAGGAACACCTGCCCAAGCAATCTTACAGATACAAAAGCACCTCACAGCACAAAGGGAAGGGATTTAAGTAAACAAGGGAAGGAAGAGCTTATCACCAGCCTGCACAGCAAGAACAGATATGAGAAGCTGCCACACATTACATGTGTGCAGTAAATTAGAACTAAAAATAGCACTTCTAGGCATGAAAGGGCTGTGTGTATGGAAACAAAAAGAACAAAATCCCACATTCATACGCACCTATAATATAAAAGATTAAAAACAAATTATTTGAGTATCTTATTGATTTGATCCATGTGGAGACCACTTTGAAACAGTGTATGGCATTTTGTAACACCAGCAATAAAATAAAGATTAAATGACAGACTGAGGAGCAATTTAAGGGACTAACCCTTGCCTAAAAAATAAAAGTGATGATATGCACAAGCAAATCAGCAGCTGGTACTGGATTTTATCTGACATCTTCCTTAGGGCCCCAGAGAGATAACTATAATATAAAATGTATAGGAAGATCTGAACTGGGAGGAGCTGGAGCAGGCCACTGGGAGAAAGGAACAGAAGCATGACATCTAAGGTGAGAAATGCTTAGCAGGGAGGCTAAAGACAGGTATAAGTAGTTATGTGGATTTGCTCACAGTTCTTAAGGAGAAAAATTACACTCATGATACAGAGGGAACACTCCAGACAGCTGAGCTGTACCCAGAAAAGCTCCACCACCTCAACCACAAATCCGAGTCAGCTGCTCCACAAATATCCCATCCCATTCTCAACAAAACAACTGACAGGAGGAATTCAGGAGGAACAAGCAGTGACTGACAAAATGGGGGTAGTTGTATCTAGGAGTGGCAATGCCATTACAGATCCCTGCTGCAAAGTGTTTCAGGTCAGGGATCTGCTCAGAGAGTCAATTTGTAAAGATAAGGCTAAGGACAAAATTTAAAGCCAATGCCAAAACAGGACCAGAGCGAGGCAGGATTTCTAAACCAACAGGCTAATTCTCTCTTAAAACCAGTTATTACCATTTACACAACATTTCTTTTACTACACAAACATGGTGAACATGATGACACCAGTACTCAAGGAGCACAGCAACAAGGGTGAGGTAATCACCTTGAGTGACAAAGGGAGCTGCTGGTAAATGGAAAACCCAGAAGTGCTTCAGAGAGTGTTTATTGCTTAAGTCTTGTCCTTACCAGATCTTTTCTTTGTATCAGCATGAGAGATCTTAACATGGTCTTAATTTGCCAAAAGCCATCTGAAGACAGACTCATGCTGATGCCAGTTACAGGAGACAGCAGAAGCCACTCAGTCCCCAACACTGAACTCGCCACGACCACCATCCAGAGCACCTGAGGCTGCTGGACAAAGCCCCTGCAGCAACCACCCCCCACCACTTCCCAGTTTAGCCTAATTTCTGTGCATGGATATTAAGCAAAGAAGCAGGATAAGAACACAGAACCAGCACTAAAATTAGCAGCATGTCACAACAGCTTCAGGACTTCCAAAAGCCTTAGGTATAAATAATATAGGGCAGCAGGAAAGAAACATCCTCTGGACACAACACAGCACAAAACAATAGCCATGCACAATTCCTGTGATAGGGTCAGGACAAATGGGCTCCACTAAGGTCAAAAATTTATGGACCTTTGTTTCTGCTGGTATCTTATGTGAACAATAAACTAATCTGTCTGCATTAAGCAGTAGGACAGTGGACAGCTGTCATTTTCTGATCTCTGTATCCTAATGGGTTACCTTAGTAACAGCCTTAAGCTGTCTGTTGCCATGGTGAATGAGGTCCATAATTGCTGCAACAGCCCTGGAGGTGTCAAAGTCATCTGCAAACGCAGCCTTCACGGTTACTTTTGTGTTGGCTAGCCTTCAAGAAGAAAAGGTAACATTTGAGATAAGACAAACAAGATGCCAGCAGTATGCTGAATTCATCAGCCATTCAGCCAGAGGGAGTCACCAAAAGGACACTGCCATCTCCTTCCCAGCTGTCCTGTGATGGGCAGTGCTGCACCCATCAGGGAGAATACATCTTTCTGCTGTGAAGGGAAAAATTTTTTGCATGTCAAAATCCTAAGTGTTATCCATTCAATAAATATACATGGCTAATCAGAGGGGCCAACAACAACAGAGCAAAGTTTGCCTTAAATCATTTAAAAACAGATGGAAAATGAGACTGATATTAAGCATATCAAAGATCCCACTGAGTTCTGTTTTTTTTTTTTTTTCCCAGCAGCCCATTAATCATGCTAACAGCATGTTTCTCTTCCAAAGGCACATCACAGGCAGCTCTCCAGTGCCTGGCAAGAAAGCTGTCCTGGGGTTGGCCAAGAATCCTGTTGTCAGGATTCGACTCAGAACCAAGCACTGCCTCCTCATTTCCCAGGAGAGCCCAATGCCAGTCCCAAGGGATTCCACTCACCATGGCCCAGATGGAAAGGTCCACTGGGACCACTTGTGTAACAGTGCCAAGAGCCAGCAGGCAACCAGCACTGATCACCACAGAACCTGCACCACCAGCTGCAGCCACTGGGAGAGGGAGATGAGGAGAGCAGCAGGAATAAATGGAGAGCTACAAACAGCTGCTGGCAGCATGCTCCCACACACAGCCAGGTGAACCAGAGCTTGACAGCACTGGCCCAAGGATGCCATTTCCTAAAAAAGTCCAAGGAGCAGGGGGATCTCAAGCTGTCCTAGCACCTCTGGGGCTGTCCTGAGCCTTATTTTGCCTGTTTCTGTAATTTTTTGCCTGGAATGCCTACCTCCCCTCAGATACTGGATGGCTGCTGCTCTAATGCATTCTTCCCAACACTCTTCCCTGCAAGCTTACCCCTCTCCACTGAGTATCTAACACTTTGCTAATTAAGAGCTTTATTTCATTTTCATTGTTTTTACACCTAGGAATGCACAAGTTGTGCCCTCCCACACATCGCCTACTGATTATCCATTTCAACTTCCTCATGCCTCTCAGCTTTATCTTGCACTAACAGATCTCCTGCAGCCTCCTGCTGAAGGATTTGCTTTTGCCAAATACCACAGCTAGTTAATGCAACTCCACTTTCTCGTAACAGGCTCCAGTGCCCCTTGCAACCCTCAGTCAGTGCAGCCACAAGCTTCCCCAACAGTGAGGCACCTGAACCATAAGGAAGCTGCCTCTCACCTCCACAGCACACACTGTCTCCCCTCTGATTCTACAGCCCAGAGCTGCCACCACTAACTTTGCTTTGTGGCACTCAACGCCCCTCCTACCCTGACTCCGTGCTCTGCTCTCAGCTTTGCACCCAAGACACAGCACACCTCAGTCCTGAAGATCACCTGGTTTTCATAATGGACTTCAAAGGATTCTCCTCACCATTGTCAGGGTCACAACAATTGTAATTGCTTCCTTCCCTGTGACATCCCTGCCCATGGCCAATCTCTCAGTAGCCCCTACTCTCCTCTGCTGCACACCACAGTGCCAGCCAGCTTGATTACAAATCCACATGCCCAAGGTGTGTCACTCTCCAGTAATCCTCTTTCTTCTCCAGTCACCACTGCCCAGCTCTGCTTACAAACTGGGGAGCCTCACAACTGCCACAGCTTTGCCTCCTACATCACTCACCAGGGGCAAAGATGCCTGTGTTAGGACAGGCACACCAGAAAAGTAACAGTGATCTTAAAAACACAGTGAACTGAGTATAGCAGACTCAGAGCAAAAACAGCTGGCTAGAAAAGAGAATTTTTAAAAAAACCTGCCCTTGCTTTTTGGGCTGAGAGGGAGGACTGTTGCTTAGTCCTTCTTGTCCTGCTTCTTAAACAGAACCCCTGAGTCTGTCAGCAAACTAGTGCTCACATAATCACAATCTTCTAAGATACAGGAAGTGCACTTACCTTTCCCACAATATGTCTTCTCTAACAGGGTCACACACCAGCTGTCCTTTTATATAAGCATTTGCATCTCTAATAAATGAGGAGATTGCCTGAAGAAGGTTCTTTGCATCTTCCATGCTCTCCTCACTAAATTCTACTGCTGAGAAACAAGAAATCAAGGCATTATGATAGAGAGAATGTTGTCTGTCATTACATAGGAACAGTATTTGGAGACAAAGGAGAAGTTTGTTATTATTTATATAGCAAACTTCTTACAATTAATTGCACATTTAATTAAAAGCTCCATTCTTCATCCACACAAGGTGGATTAAATCAATATAAAAGACAATGACTACATATGACAAAGTATAACCTACTGGAACACTTATCAAACTGATTCAAAAAGTTGAATCTGGAAGTTTACTGATGCAATCACTATTTAATTTTAATTTTTTTTCCATTATTGAATTTCTCTGCAAAGTTATCAATTCAAAGCATTAGGATTTAATATACTTCTAAGTGTTCTAGTGATGGCAACATGTACCTCTAATTTTGTGCCTATGCTAATTTAGGTAGACACAATTTGTATTTGGAGACATCCAAAGAAGCCTAACCCTCACCACTGACTCTGTTGAAAGGGCTGCCTCACGAACACCTAAAATCCAGATGAACCTAAAATTTGTGGTGTAGCTCCTGAACAATTCCCTCACAATATCAAAGCTAAACTGACCATACCACTTTGAGAAAGCTATTTTTAGAGAAAATACAAATTGCTTAAACTCATAAGGGCATGTCTGGGATGGGATTTATCACACTCACACATATCAAAGCCTCTTATGGCCACTGGAAAGAAAGATAAAACCTCAAGGTAAATGATTCCTTGCATCCACAACTGAACTCCACTTTACGATGAGATGTGCCGTACAGGAACCCTACAGAGCTTCTCTTCCACCAGCCACAGTAACATCAGCCCTACCACTAACAAGGCATCCATGCACATAGGCATCCCCCCTGCACTCAGGGAGACCCTACCTTTGGCAGGCAATTCCACTTTGGGAGCTTCCAGAGTCCACTCCTGCTGGCAGGAGTTCAGCAGACTCCTCTCGCCTTGCCTGCACCCTGTGAAGTGCAGGTGTGCCAGACTAGCTCACTGTCACTTTTACTGGGAATTGCTATCAGTGACAGGCTTTTATAAATTTGTACAGGAATGTGCAATTTTCTGTAGAAAAGCTTTTGGAGCCCACAAAAGAGAGCTCACCTGACCTCAGTGGAAGTTGTGTCCTTAGGACAGGCCTAAGTTTGACTGCACTCCTTCCCCCAGGATCACACCAGAGCCACCCATAGCCAGAGCAGCATTGCTTCACTGCTGTACACCTGACCTCAGCAGTAAGGTACATCCAAACTACTGCTGCCAGCATATTCCCAATATCATCAGCACTGAGCATCACCCATAGCTTCCACAGAAATCTCACCTCTGGTCCTCCCTGTGGTGCATCCAGCTGCTTTGTAGAATTATCCAGTGCTGCCCAGACAGGCTCTTTAGATCAGACAGTCCAAGAGGACAGATGTAAGAGGGAAAAAGCAGCCAGATGTGAGATTGGGTGAGACCCGCAGACAGTTCTACCAAGAGGACAGATGTAAGAGGGAAAAAGCAGCCAGATGTGAGATTGGGTGAGACCCAATCTCATTTCCATTAGCCTAAATCCCAAGGAAGCCTAACTGTTTAAACAGACTTTACACAGGATTTACCCCAGTGTAACAAAGTCTGGACCTCTATTTGTCAGATTTTTCACTTGTGTATAATTAAAAATCCCCAACCTCATTTCCATTAGCCTAAATCCCAAGGAAGCCTAACTGTTTAAACAGACTTTACACAGGATTTACCCCAGTGTAACAAAGTCTGGACCTTTATTTGTCAGATTTTTCACTTGTGTATAATTAAAAATCTGCATTACTGCCTCACTAAATCAAGCTTTACTCCGTTTTCAAAAAGACCAATGTACAGACCTCTATAACACAGTGAGAGTCTGAGAGTGATCATTTATGTACACTAGCATTACTCAACTGATTAACCTGCTTACAAGAATTCTGCAAGGAATACTTGATAAAAGTTTATCCTGATGAAACCTACTTTCACTCAAGCCATTCTTCATCCCCAGTTCAGGGCATACTCCTAAACCACTTCCTGCAGGCACTGCAAACCCACAATGCAGCACAGGCAAGCCTGGCCCTAAGAACCTTCACTGTGCTCCCCACTCCTTCCCTCCTTCGTCAGTGGACGGCATCACCAGTGCATCATCAAATTAGAATACATTTGTTTATTAGCACCAACAAGTACTTGCACATCCGAGGGGTCAGAACACTGCAGTTCACTCAGGTTCACAAAATCACCAGAGCATTTCTGGTGATCAGGAGTACATTCTGGAGACAAAACCGAACTGCCTGTGGCCAGGCTCACACGCCCTGCCCTTCACTGCATAAAGTGAAGCCACTGCTGAAGAGATGCAAGAGGAAAAGTGATGCCTCACAGCAGGGTCCCACAGGACTTCAGAGATGGCACCTCTCCTTTCAAGCTGTACCCCGAAGCAGCTGGCACACTGGTGGAGGGTCACCATGCTGCTGCCTCGGGTACCTAGGAATCATTTTCCCAACAGCCCCAGATGTGCCACAGGGTGGTGACTCAGGCCAAGAAGGGAACAGCCAGAGGCACCAGCCAAAGCAAAATGCCCAGATAATCACCACTGCCCCCAGAGCTCAGCTTCACCCCGAGCAGCTCTGCCCCACTACCAGAGAGGCAAAGAGGCAGATGAAGCAGGGCACCCCATGCAGAAATACATTATGGAAGGATGATCAAAGTCTCTTCTCTCTGACTTTTCTCCTCTTCCCCACAAGCAAGGCACGCTGCTTTATCCTTCCTCTGACAATGATCATCACAGGAAGGGACTCCACTCTTTGCACACACCCCTTTCAACCCTTGCCCCTCCAAGGCTGGGCCAGTCTGGAGTCACATTTGTCTCTACTTGTGCCTATTAGCATCCACAGAGACAGGGGGGTAGCCCAGACAACAAAAAAGGCCCATTCCAAGCCAAAGAAAACACAGTACCAAGGATGAGCCATTCCCAATCTCAGCAGCTGCCCTCATCCACATGCCTACACAGATCTTTTTTACAGATTCAATCCAATGTTTGTGGTACCACCTGACCCCCAAACCTGGATTTTATAAAAGGCTTTCTTTGGCAGATAGGAATGGCAGGAGCCATAACCCATGGGTCTAGGCTATAAAAACCTTTTAAGAAATGAGAAGGTCCTTGGGATCTCACTTCTAATAAAAATACCAGCAGACAGCAAGATGAGAAGGAGTGCAGTAAACTTATGTTTAGACCAAAGTGAATATTGACAGCAGGGACACAAGCTGACAGGCAGCACAGTGAATACCTGGCTCAGCAGAGACCAACTCTGGCTCTTTACTGGGAAGCTAATAATGCACAAGGCCTTGCAAGGTGGAGGTGGGAAGCACAGACTTCTAAGCAACCCTTACCTGCCAACTGGCTTATACTCTGATATGACACCAGCACATCCTTTCATCAAAGCCACCCACATCCACAGAGGTAGCACTCTTTTTTTACCTCAGGGGGTGTTTATCCTAGAAGTAATGCACAAAGCACAGGCTCGAATGCAGCCAGCTGACAGGGAGTGAAGAAAGCGCGCAGGCAGCTCTCCATTGCTGGGCTCCAGTGCCATTCCTGTCCTGAGGCAAGGTTAGAAACTACCAGACGTTTAGCTCTTGCTCAAATGACAAACATATACATATGATAGAGGTAGCGGGTGTTAGTCTTTCCTCTTATTTTAAATACACATCTCCCAAGTGCCCCCAGCCAGGGATCCACCTAAGTGTACACAAGGTATTTCATCTCCTAAAAGAAGCAATCAGCCAAGTGTTCCACTGCCCTGCAGCATCACCCCAAAACAGCCAAGCATGCCACCAATCCTCTGCATGCCCAAACACGATGCTGCTCTGCAGAAGACCTTCAACTGGATGCACCCCTCTCTTTCTGTGACAGTGGCAAGGAAGTTAATAACCACCTCTCTCTTTACTATCCCATGATTTGAAATATTGCGATTACTCAATTCCTGATGCCTTCAATTGTCCTAGGAGAGGAAGGATCCACCAGGAAGATCACATGGGTGGCTCCTGCAAGGCAGCTAGCAGCATGAACAAGCAGAAAGACTTCTCAGTCCAATGACTGCATGACTATAAAGCCTGGCAGCACACTGCACGCTGACAGGCACAAGCAGTGCCCCAGAGCCTTGGCCAGGCCAGCTCTCACAGTCACACTGCTACAGGTGCTTTTTCCAAAGCAGGCAGAGGCCCACTGGACACCACAGCAGCTGCTGCCCATGCTCCACTACTCCCTTGCCATGCCTGGACAGCCAACAAGCCAGGTGACCCAGCAGTGGTTAAGGAAATACCATCTGCTTTTGGCAGGTCCCAATAAACTGGTAGGAACACAGACATATGAAAACCTCTTCCAGCGCAAAGTAGCATCTACCTGCTGGAAACACTATGGGGTACACAGGGAAGCTGATAAAATCTCCCCACCAGCAGAGAGATGGTCTGCCATCTAAGGTGTTCATTAGGTTACCATGCGCTGGTCTAAGTGAATTGCACTGCACCACGGGACTGCCTGAACACTCAGGAACTCCACAGGACAAAAATGGTAACACAGCAGGGAGACAAAAAATTACTAGCCAGCCCTCATCATACCGTCTACAGGAATATGAGCCACAGCTCCATCTAGATACATCTTCAAAACCAGCTGATCATGACTGCAATACAAGTAACTACAACAGATGCAAATCAGACGCAGAGGTAATTAATTAATTAAAAGTGCAATTAACTATGAATTGAAGCTCAAGAAGGTATTTAAATGAATGGTTATGTACTGCGCCCAGTAAAGACAACTTTCTAAATGTCAGCCAAAGAGCAGCCCCAGAGAGCAGCACCAAAACCCTTCCACCACGGGGAGCTCGCTGCGCCTCCGCAGGCCGGCGGGAAAGGTGGGGAAAGCCATGCAGGGAAGGGGCTGGTCCTTACCTGAGCTGTATCTGCCGCGCAAACAAAACATTCTGAACTGATCTGACGAACATTTCTCCAGGAAATCCTAAACTCCATGCACAAAAAGACAGCTTTAGCATGATATCAGTTTCTTCAGGAGCTCTTTCACCCCCTTGCTTTTCAAACTAACAGGACAAATAATGCATCTTTGCAATTTAAGACAGGCATAAAACCTTTAAACTCTGACACTGCTTTAAAGCCTAAACTAAATAAAATTCAATTCCGTATAAGATAGATGTGCATACATATATACAAGTTATAAATATACGCACAATGTCCAATAAGACAGTGAAAATTACTTCGCAAATACAATCAAACATACAATGTAAAAACACCTTTGTAAAAAAAACCCAAAATGAAATTATCAGACTAAGATTGGGATAAAATCTTAGAGAGAGGAAAGCTCCTGAGTTGTGCAAACTTTACAAAAAACAAAGATTTATTGAAAAAGAAAATAAGTGCACTTTTTCTACAGGACTAGAATATGAAGAAACACAAGTAGTGAACAAAGATAAATCTCAGCAATATAAAAAGAGTTATCTGTGTTAATTATGAAGACTAGTAAACTCCACTCTAATATTTATCTAGCTTTACAAATAATTTACTCCAGTAAACTATTAGTATTACTACCAGTACAATTAATTTATATTAATAGTATAATGAACTATTTAACTGTTTGGAAGGGACACTAATAAAACATTCGATCACCTCCAACCCTGCTCTCAGGCAAGGCTGGACATTGTGGTAGATTGGTAGATTGACTGTGACTATTGCACTTCTGCTTTTTTTTTTTTGTTTTTTTTTTTTTAATTTGCAAATTTTTTTTTTATTTGCAAATGGATGAGGATCACTGAAGTGCCACAAAAATCAAAAATAATAAGAAGACAGTACAAGTGATAAAATATGGAAAGTGTAATTTGCTTAAATCTCACATTTTTAAATAAGGCTTCTGGTACAAGACTAAACCAGCCTGAACAGTGGAAAAGCATCAGCAATGTGCTGTCCCTCAAGTGAAAACAGAAATAATTGAGGCAATCACAATCAAGAAACAGTAATACTGATTGTTTTGGTGGGTGTTCATTTGCTTGTTGTGGGTTTTTAAAATAAACTGGATATATATGAGTGTAACCCATATGCCCAGCAGCTTTACACTAATATACAGAGGTAGAACAATATGGGTACAGTACAGAAATAAATTCAAATTTGGGAAAGGACCATCCAAACTAGAGAAAACAACTCTGCATTTCTTTTAAAACAGAGAACAGATGAAGAATCACAGCTCTTTGAAAGCAGGTTGCTTGGCCCTGTGTCATCACAATCTCTTTGATTTTCAGGGTCAGAATTAAATTTTTAAAATTAATTAATTTTAAATTAATTTTTTTAATTAGCTATTAAAAAAAGGAAAGAAGAAACTGGAGTAGGGTACAAGGGGAGGGAAACAGGCCAGCTGGATGTAGAGGATGGGCTGCTGTGCCCAGGTGACAGCCTGGGATGCAGGTGGCAACTGGCTGGACCAAAGGAAGATGCTGGACAGACCTCCCCTCTTTTGTCACAGGCATAAAGCCTTCCATGTAGGGTTTAACTTTCAAGGTGCAAGGCAGGTGTACAGGAAAAAATCGTTTCACTAGATTGAAAATCACTCCTCAGGAAAGATTAATGCTTGTTACCCATGTGTAAGGGCAGACATGAAAAACAGAGACCAAAAAGAAAAGAGACAGACCTGAAATATTTGTTTCCTCAACACAAGCTGTGCCATCATGGAGGACATGGAGAGGTACATTTTATATGCTGCTTTTAACTCCATGCACTGCATTTGTGGTCATTTCTACACCTGTCCACGACATCTGCTGAGTCTTGTGAGATTTCTATGAAAATTGTGAGCTCCGGGAAAACAGGGCTAAACCGTACCCAGACAGCATCAGAAGACTTAGGAATAAAGCAGCTCATATTGAACTTCTTTTTAAAGGGATTTTAATTAATTTTTCCAAGAGGGCAAAGGGGAACATACATGCCAAAGCAGTTTCCCAAGCTTCATCTAAAGGAAGGAAATCACTCTATTCCAGCAGTAGGCATCAGCCATCGTGGGAGCCACCCCAGCACCAGGCTCAGCTGTAGCACACACAGCTGGCAGAGAAGCCCTGCCCTGGGCCACACCAAAGACCTGGGGACACAGTGATGTATCACACAGTCATGTGGCTCGGGGGTATCAAAAGGCAAAGCTTCTGTGCATCAGCAAGGCCACCTTATAAAAAATAAAGGGTAATGGGAGAGACTGCTGCAATAGTGTGGTTCAGGACACCCCGTAGCTTCCTGACAAAACACTGACACTATGCCCCAGTTCACCTAAAGAAGGACTAGGAAAAACATCATTCTTTTCCAAATCCATGCTTTTTCAAAGCACTATTAAGAACAGACCAATGAGAACCCATCACTACAGAACAGAATCATTCAGGTTGGAAAAGACCCCCAAGACTGTCAAGTCCAACCACAAATCTACAGTGCAGGATTCTGGTACGGGGCACAAACTCTCCTCCTACAAACACGCTCAGCTCAGCAAGATCCATTGTTATTGGAAATCATGAATCTGAGCAGGTATCCTACCTCCAGATCCACAACAACAGATACATCAGTACTAGAGAAACACTGCAGCACAAGCACACACTCCAAAGCTTTCTCAAAAGAGGGCTGTGATTAATATTTACATATTATAAACCTACAAAATTGCTTCAATTCAAACAAAGAAATTACCTTAATTGTTACGTAGTTTTTTAATGACTTTGACATTTTTTCTTGACTTCCTTTAACATGCAAATGCCCTATAGTAAAAAAAAAAAAAAAAGGAATTAATCAGGATAAACAAGTGTGCTACTGAATAGGGAGCAAACTGCACTGAGACACTGCAAATGTTGGAGGCAGCATATGCTATGATGGATACATGCTAAACGTTTCAATGTAATGGGTAACATTTTTAATAGCTTTGCCTACAGTCCTGCACACGTCTCCATCTAAAAACTTCCACTGGGTGAATTTTAAAATACAGACATTTAAAACATTAAAAAAACCCCAAAAATACCCCACCACCGCCGTGAGTCTCCCTGTTCAAAACTGACAATAAACTGATAAAAACAAGCAAGCAAATAGTTTCAGTCTTCACAAGTACCTTACCTGTTACTCTTGACTTCTCAGAAGTATTTTAAGAAATATTTTCCAGTGATATAGCATTTAAAAATCCTTAAAACTCAATCTTCTGTACTTACTTCTTGCTGATGGCTGTTAACATTATTTTTTTTTACCCCAAAGTTTTATATTACTGGTTCAAATATCTTAAATGCAAAATGAATTTTCTACAGATTCTCAACTTCTCCAGACTTGTGAGACTGAGAAAAAGCAGGGTGAGGGAGGGATGCAGCTACAATACCTAATTTGAATTAGTTTATTTTAAAGTGTGATCTCTGAGCACTGCTAGAACATTCAACAGTCACACAGATCACTGCTTTGCAGGGCTGGAGCACAGGAAAAAGACAGTAAGACTGCATTTATGTAGAGCTTGGCTTTAGGATTGAAAGCTCTGTTGAAGAAATACAGGAGAGATATAGCCTGAGGTTGCCTGCTTCCAGGTCTCATCCACATCTCATTCCAGGTCTCATCATGGCAACACCACTGATGGAAAACACCAATTATTCACAACACCAGAGAGTGGCAAACATGCTGCCACTGAAAGACTACTCAGCATAATTTCAGAAATGTTGTTAAAAGCCTTAATAGGCTTCTCTTAATGAAAGAGTAATTCTGTAAGTTACCAACCACCCACAACTAATGTGAGATTTTAGGCACTTCTGTGACCTGCAGCATCTAGCACTTAATCATACTTTGAGACAGATTTTTAAGCATAAATTTATCTTGCTCTGTAATACCCTACCAGAACTGCATTCTTTCACATTTGGCAGCCCAGTGCTACCAATGTCTCACAGTGCAAGGACAATGCATGATCGTGCTCCTGCTTTTATGAGTGGGGACAGAAGTGGCATTTCTTGCTCTGCAACCCATGCAGCTGTCTGCATTTTGTGCTACTTGCTACACAGAACTGCTTTGCAGCCTTGCCTGAAACCCTCTTGCTTCCACAAGCAGATAAAATCCTCATTACACTCATCTGGATATGAAAGCAAGAAGCTCAGGCCTGAAAACTGGACCTGAAAAGCTCATCATTTCACTTCTCAGCTATTTCTGAAAATGATTCAAAGCAGGAACTCACCACAAGAAGTCCTACCCTGACCACCTCAAAACTTAATTTTGCACAACATACTCTATGGAGAGTAGGAATGAATCAAAAAATCTACTGATGCAGAACCAGCTACAGCAGCTACCCATGATAAAAAAACTTGCTTTAACAGTCTGTCCTGTCTGCTAGCAGGTGAAGCCACTTTCACCACTGCATCATTAAACCTGGGACACTCAATAAGCATATTCAGGCTGTCAGACACAGCTGGACACCTACAGCTCTTGGGACTCAAGTAAAACCCACAGCCAAAATTATCCTGGGAGAAGGGGAAGAGCCTGGGTAAGATTACTTTCTCTCTTTTGCAAAGGTGCCTAAATACTGACTTAATTAACTTCAGGCAGACAAGCTTAAAATAGTTGGACTGTGTTTTCCTAAAAAGGTAGCAGTAACATCTGAATTTGAATTAATATTCCTCTTCCAAGAGTTTCAGTACTTAGAATGATTTCATTCAAGAACACAAAATACAAGGATTTTCATAACTTTGGTTTGGCGCTCTTCCCAGAGTACAAGTAGTCTAAAAATAAAGTCCTTATAAGATTTATCCCCAGTGCAGGGATTTTCTTCCTCTAATGGGGACTGCTCCTTCAATTCTGAGCTGCTAAAATTCTGAAGTCTGTTAGCAGAATAAATTGTTTCTGAAGCTGATTCATTTGCCCTAAATAATTCACACCATCATCCTCCAGCAAGACTTTCTGACTTAATGAATGTAATCTGTCAGCTCCTAGAGAACTTCAGTGTAAAAACTGCCCTTGGAATTAAGTTCTCCCTTTTTTTTTTTTTAATTGACTCTTCTTTATTTAGCTGGTATATTTCCCCTACAGATTCAGTTCCAAGTTTGCAAAGCCAGATTCACTGATTTGTCAACAGAAGGCTCCCCTCAGCAGTAACCAGTGCATCTCAATGGAAGTGCAGAGGATTCCACAGCGCCTCGGGAACAAAGCACACCCTGGAGGACGCACCAGCCTCTGGACAATTGCTATTGATTTACAACAGGCTCTACACTGGGAACTGAAACTAGAATTCAATATTCATCCCAAGCAGTACAAATATATAAAGATGAAAGCTCACATAATTCCCAGAGTGCACCACAGGCTTAACTCTGCAGCTCTTCTATTCAGAGAAGCAGCCTCAAGAGTTCATAGAGACATCCTGCCCAAAATACTAATCAGCAAAAGAGAGGCTGCAGACTTGAATCTGACTTTATTGACTTCAGCTGTCCATCCAGAACCACCACGACTGCAACAGGAAGAGAAAATGCCAAGGTTTCCATCAATGGGAACAGCAATAGAGCCATCACTGATGCAGTTCAAAGCACTGTACAGCACAAACTTCTCTGAATGAAGCACTTTTATGCAGAGGGAGCAAGGAGCAGTTCTCCATAATGCCAGGCAGTGTAATGTGTTCTCACAGCATGAAATGCCAAACTTAAAAAACCCAAACTATCGTATTTGTACAGGCCTCTCAAGTGATCAATATTTTACTTACCAGAATGCAGAAAGTAATTCCCCCATTGCTCACACTGATGATACACCTCACACTGGGCAATTTCATTTTCATGATGAGGAAATGCAAGATCTATTCCACCGGTATGGATGTCCAGCTGCTTTCCAAACACTGCACTGTAACAATATTTTCCTGATCAGTAAGTAGAACACCACAAAAGCTTTTTGTAAAAAGAAATGTAGACAAAAATAAGATGAAACAACATATATTTAAGTGTACAACTTAGTAACTGCAGTTTTAAAACAAGACTTTACACATACCTTGGATACCAAAACTGTAGCAGAACATGTATGGACAGGACCCTTATCTGTTCACAATTACTTCTCCTTAGTAGGAGCAATTATTTTTCTACCTTCAAGGACAGCAAAGAGGATGTCTCCTTTCCTTGTTCTGCTACAGTTTCAGTATCAGACAGATGCCTTTATGTGCAAGCCTAACAACTTATTTCTATAAATTTGGTATTACTCTTCCTTATCTTGTACCTTTCCTGTAAGAATTCAAACAATAGTGTGTGCAGTCATGTCAAGCTGGGCAGGTTAGCAACTTTATTTTGCCTGTTAAAGTTTACACTTACAGCCTCATAGGGATGTGAGTCAACCTTAACTACTCAGAAACCAGGAGTACTCAGGCAGGGAAAGATGCAAGGCCTACAAACAAACACACAGGCCTCCCATATGTTACTTTAACAAGGTGCTCCTGGTAGCTGGCTAAACATTAATACTTTGGTCCCTTTTTGAGACAAACACCCTGCTAACACTATGCCACATGATGGCTTTGCAGAAGCTCTTGGGGCACAGAAGGAAAAGACAAGGAGGAGAAGAGAGGAGGAAAGAAAGAGCAGCTGTCACTATCTCCCAAGTTCATCCTTCTCTTATTCTCCCTGCTTCAAAACCAGCTAAAGCACAAATCCTCCCAGGGCTGACCCTCACCTTCCCTTGTGCCACTTACCGAGGAGCACTTGCTGTTTCCTCCAACAAAACCACTAAGAGCTGGAGAGAGGTGACAGATAGATATGGCAAATACACAGGGACAGGAGGAGCCACCCACCTCACCACAAGGGAAAATGAATAGAGAAGATCAGACCTGAAGGGGACAAAGTAGGAGATTCCCTCCTCCAGGGCTGCTCTGGAGATCAGAGACTCCTCATTCACAGACTTATCAAAATTAACTCACCTAACATAGTTAAAGTGCTCTGAGATACTTGGCAAAACAGACAGTTAAGTAAGTATTGCTTAAAAATGGGCCTTCAGCAGCTGACTGGGACAGCAAATTGGTTTAGTCACTTACCAAAGTAAGCTCTCCATTTTTCACAGTCCAAGATTACTACAATCATGCTCTCAGTGGGTCTTTTATTTATACGGCAGGAGCCTCATCCAGCCCCAGTAAAACACATTTTTAGAGAAAGAAATGCAGACTATAAACAGCAGTGCATTAGCAGACAAGCCATGTTGTAACCAGCATTTCTTACCTGTGCACTTCTGTCACAGGTTGTACATCAAACACAGCATGATTTTGTGCACTGTGATTGCTTTAAGAGCTGCCTCACTATGCTGAAACTATTCACAGACAGAAAATCACCCTTATAAACACTTTCCACAAGCAGGTGGAAAAGACTAACAATCCCAGGTGCACCAGAAAAGCATATGAAAGAAAAACCTAAAGCAGCTGGTTCCATCTCCTTTCAGCTTTAGCTGAAAATTTAAGCTGAACAAGGTCAGATCTAAACTATTTCTTCTTAGCTTCCAAAAAAAGATCTGAGTCTAATGCAAAACTAAGTACGCTATCAATCTTCCAGGAGAGAAGACTTTTTCTCCTGTGGTGAAAATGAAACTTTAAATTAAGAGCAAATTACATCAAACCAACTGCAAGCAAAACACTACTCAGCAAGAATGCTGAATAACACTTAGATTATTAGCATGAACATCCACAGCTGCTGTTAAGATAAGGCCAGCAAGATCTCATAGATCAAGCTGTAATCCCACACCCTGTCCTCCTGACACCTACATCCTGAACTAGGTCTGATGGAGACTGCTAGAAGTGGAAGGGAAGAGAATGGAAGAGGTACCATAACTTCCACCACGCCTTTGGTTACTCAGCTCAAGTTAAAAGACTGCTAATGGACTGTGATCCCATGTGCCATACTTTAAGCACCAAGTCTGACTCAAGAGAAGGTGCCAAAACATAGAGACAGCTGTGACAGTAACGTGAAGCAGAGTTTATCTGGGCCACATGTGACATCCCAAGTTGCATAAAATGGTCACATTAAAACCAGTGCTACCTATTGATCAGAAAACAGTTTCAGTACTGCTGCTACCATTGTACTGTGACTGAAAACGAAAAATAGCATTAGATTTATCAAAATCCAAGAAATCTGACCTTGATATTGTGGAACATTCAATGTGCCATCCAGGTCGTCCTTTTCCCCAGGGAGAATTCCAAGATAGCTCTTGAGGCTTGGCAGCCTTCCACAGGGCAAAATCTTTACCATGTCGTTTATCAGAATCAACTGGCAAGAATAAGTGATTTGTTAATGGGATATGTCTCAAAGAAAAAAAATGACCAAATGAAAGCAAGAGGAAATGTGTATTTAGTGAACTACTCTGATTTTAATCCCCTTCAATCAACTTCTTTTCACTACAACTTCCCTCTCTTCCCCCTCACACAGGGGAAAATTGAAATATTGAAATATTGGAATATTGAAATAGATTTCAACAAGCTACAAAGATGGATTCAAGATTCCTTAATATATCCTATCCTATCAGTCCCTTTAGCCTTCCCTGGTTTGCCTTATTTTTCATTCATTTAGTTACATATCAGCCAGTTTCCCCAGGACAAATTGACTGCACTACAGCAGAAAAGGTAATAAAACCAAACCAAAACACACAAACAAACAAACACCCTACAATTTTTTCTCTGGGACACAATTACTTTGTATTTTAGATTTTATAAAACAAAGTGTACAGAGATAAGAATCAAAACTATTCTTGGACAGTAGGAATTTTTCGGTACCGTTTTCACCAATGGGTTCTCTGCAAAGGTTTCCTCACAGCTGTATTTGCTCTTTCCTTCACTACATTGCCAAAGATGCAGTCCTCTTTGTTACAATACTGCAGGGCTGTTCATCTCTGCTGACTCCTAACCTCCAGTCAAATACACAGCAACCCCTGGCAGGAGCCACAGAACAGGGCTCTAGACTCTGGACTTTCTTTCTGACAAATACGTGATCTCACTTTTAGAATCATACAACTCAAAATTCCTAAGAACTAAAGATACAAAAATGTAACCCTAGTTTTTTCCACTGAATCTTCACCTGGGCTCTTTCACTAGATTGCCAAGCTCTGAGTGACCAGTATCTGCTGACTCCAACCCTCTTTTGCCCTGTTCTGAGTATACTGCCACAAAAGAGCACTCTTCAACTTCTCAGTTGTAAGCAAAACAAGTGTCAAAATCTTTAGAAATAAGAACGCACTTAGTTGTGACTAGAGGGGAAGCAGGGTAAAACACGTAATCAGGCTCAGCTGAGGCTGGAAGGCACCTCTGGGAACAGTCTAATCCAACCCCCTGCTCAGAGCAGGAGCAGCTACAGAGGCTGCCCAGGATGGTGTCCAGTTAAGCTTTGACTGAGGATGGAGACTCCACAGCCTCTCTGAGCAACATGGGTTGTGTTAACCACCCTCAGGGTAAAAATGATTTTTCTTAGCTTTAAATGGAATTTCCTGTGTTTCAAGTCGTGATCAGGGCCTCTTGTCCCATCACCAAGCACCAGAGAGAAAAGCCTGGCTCCATCTGCTCTACTCCATCAGTATGAGTACACATGGGTAGGATTCCCCCAAGCCTTCTCTTCTCCAGGCTGAGTGGTCCAGCTCTGTCTGCTTTTCCTCACATGAAAGATGCTCCAGTACCTCCATCATTATTGTGGCCCTTTGCTGGCCTTTCTCCGCCGCTGTTCTGGGGAGCCCAGCACCAGACCTGCACTCCAGGCATGTCTCACCAGTGCTGAGCAGAGCAGGACCACCTCCACTGAGCTGCTGGCAATGCTCCTCCCTGTGCAGCCCAGGAGGCTGCTGGCTCTCTGCAGTCGTAATTACCTCTAAATAACTGTTGACAAGACGCATTCCCTCTGAAAGCTGTAACGCTGAAACAACTCCAGAGCAGAGCTGTGAGAAGTTCTGGCTGCACCTGAGCATCAGCCTCCAAGGCATTTGCAGTAATTACAAACAGATTTTTTTTAACGATTAAATACTGAACTTTAGTTTGCAAAAGGATGCAGAAAACCTGAATCAAATTCTCTGATGCAGAGACCTGATCAGATCCTTACTAACAGAGGTTCAGCAAAGCAAATCCTGCAAAGCAGGAACTGGAGCAAAATCCCCACAGCCATGGTACAGCCCTGCTCTAGCACAGCCTATGAAGAGATTGCTCACTCTCACACAAAGAGGCTGCTTAGCCCAGTGACAAGTAATGAAGGAAGCAATTCATCCAGGTAACTTCAGAGCAGTGCAACCACCCCAACAAGAACATGGTAGGTGAGGTTTCCTTGTGTTTTCCCTTGAGTACCTCACTGCTGACTACTGCAACAGCAAGAACACCACCTCACTGTGAAGTTTCCATGTACCACTGCCAAGTATATAATTAAAATTGCTTGAGAATCCTAATTGTTCTAAGGTACCAGAACAAAAGTATAGAGGGAAGGACGAAAGAAAGAAGAAAACCCAAGTTTCCTCCTGCACTGGCAACAGTGAATGCTTCAAAAAAATAACTACAAAAGCACTGTAACCTTAATTAATCAGAAACCTAGCTATACACAATGGGTTAGAAAACTGTATCAGACTGTTGAATGAAAGTTTGCATGTAGATGCAAAATGCATTCAAACAATGCATTAACACAAACAAGCTCGTGCCACAAACTTACCTGCTTCATCTTGGGTATCAGGGTTAATAGCAGTGAACACTCCGTATCTTTTTCCCCAGGATTTAACATCAAAATAAACATTGCCTAATACAAAAGAAATGTTTAGTTGCATAGCAAAGATGGGGTACATTGATGAGAACTTGATAACATTTCCCTGAAAGCAAAATAAAGTGCACTTCCACTCCCATGTGAAATTCTGACTTAGAAATTCAGAAATACTGCAAAAGTAGTAGCAGATGTCCCATATTATCCAGCTTTGCAGTAACCTCTGTGCACATGCTCATTCTACCCATAGCATAACTTTGAATTCTGGGGATCTCCCAGGTTCTTCCTTGCCCATGCACAATCAGCAACGCCCTCCCCTACTGCAGCTCAAGCTACACCTAGTTCAGTTACAATGCACTTGAATTCTTCTACAACCACCAGCTCTGCTAAAAAAGAAATCCACACATTTTGCTTTGCAGGCACATCTTTTACAGCACAAAGGAGATACACAGCTCCTCTTCAGAGGTTCCCCCAGCTTTCTTGTAGAAACCAGGCCAGGATTTCCCCAAGGAGTTTAGACAGCAGTTTATTACAGTAAACAATTACAATAAATAATGAGCTACATTTAACTTAGAAATTGAGTAATAGTTGTTCTGCCCACTCATGTCTTGACAAACAATTCACTCACACCCTGTTAAGCAACAGAAGGAAAGCCCGGCACAAGGTATCTCATCTGATTCCAAAACAGGATTACTAAGAGCACTGGCTTCCTATACATGTGCTGAACAAGGAGTTACTTTGCTCAAAGTCTTACCTTGCGAGGTTGCATAAGCTTGTCCACTGGAAATTATTGTTTTTATAAAGGAAATTATTTGAGGAATATTGTCAGTCACCCTCATATATGCCGTAGGAGGAAGGACCTTAAAGAAAGAGTAACACCGCATTAACACACTGCCGATGAGTTCCTTCGCTCTAAGAAACAAACTAAAAAGAACATTCTCCTCAATTGTATCTTTAAAAAAAAGTTGCAGGTATCATAAAAAAATTCATAAGCAATATTTAAGATAATACACACACAGAAAAAATATCTGAGAGGTGGCAAAGAAAAAGCCTGATTTTCCCAGTGGCTCACTCTGCTTCTGACAGCGAGACAAGAAGAAAAGTCACCTGAAATCAATGAAATAAGATTTCATGTTTCCTGTGCTTTCAATCAGGCTATTTCTGCATTATAGTAAATATGCAATATCTGTGAATCAAGGATCTACTAAATATGGAAAAAAACTATTCCTATAGAAATGTAACTTGCTTATTCCAAAGCTCAGCTCCCCACATTTCCTTCCTCAAAAGGTGTGCAATATCATTCCAGAAGAATGAAAAAGTAAATCAGCACTCAGTTTCCAAGCAACAAATTTATTTTTTCAGATCAAACTCTCAAAACCAGATTCTTTACCAAAATAATTGCTTAGAAATAGTCTTGAATTTAGAATCTTGAGTATTTGTACCTTTAAGGCAGCCATATCTTGTTTAAAGTCTTCTTCATAAATACGAGCAAGAGCTACTGGTGACATATTCATCTGAAAAAAGAGAAGCAGATTAGCAAATCATAAATCAGAGTAATGATATAAAATACGGCAATCTTTCCTCAGACAGCTAATAGCTAATTGAAAGACTTAGAGAGCCCCCAAGGTAAAGAGTCAGAAAGGCTTATTAATCTAACATTGACAGGGAGGAGATCTAAGTTATTTATAACTTAGAAGTAGTATTTCATTTATGCTTCTCAATTTCCAAAATATTAATATATCTCTTTTAAGAGAAAGCAACTAAAGACTAAAATAATAAACTCCTTCCCTCTCTTATTATTTTCCTTTTGAGAGAGTCTTTCATTTCCAGTGACAAAATATACTACCATACACAGGAGATAAAAACCATTCAACTTACTGACAGGAAACACCAATACCACCTACGTGTCAGAAAGACAGATCAGAGACTTGCAGGATGAGACAAGATATTAATTTTCAGTGATTAAGAAAAATAAGCTATTTCAGCAGATCATGGGTACTCATAGATCTCAATATTGAAAGCCGGTTCCACACTTTGCCAAGCCCAGCGTTTCTCAAGCACCTTCTCTCCGTTTCTCATTCATGGCACATGAACAGGTTCCTCTTGCAGAGGGGATGAGAAAATGCAACCCAAAAGGAAAGGTACTTGCCCATGGTAAGGCACTTGTTCTCAAATACCCAGAAGAGGCCAGGGATTGAAAGATGCATGACAGCAAAACCTGCCCTAGTAACCAACAGCATGGTATCAAAGTGTTTCAAATGCATGCTTTTACATCTTCTCTGAGAACAAACTACTGGGGAGAAGACAACATACTGTCAGTCTCTCCATCTTGCAGGTAACTGAATCATTAACAATATCAATCCCATTTCATCACTTCCAATTCATTACTGGAGCATCTCTATGGGCTCCGATTTGAGAGAGCAGGTGGCTACCACTGTTTGTACAAACTCCTGGATAAAGCAGGGGTTCTGGTGAAGACAGTACAGATGTTCATGCAGCAAGGAAATTAGGACAATGCTCAGCACCAAAAAACAAAGACATGCCTCTGCCTACAGACCAGTGACTGGATTCTTCTTCCTAGACAGCTCAGCTGCTTCTTTGATCAAGACAGAAACAAAGGTGCCTCCAGGAAGAAGACAGGGAGTTTCCTCCCATCCAGACAGATGTTCAACACACAGAGACTCATCTCTCTCTCAAAGGACCACTGATGGCATGCAGTTCATCATAAACTAGTACCCAATTTTGAGGTTTCCCCCAGATGAACCCCACCAGGGGATGATGAACAAGCTTAGACATGTTGATTCTACCACTGTAATGCTTCAGATGCACAGGTCCCAACAACAAAAGCAGGCTACTGAGGTAAAGGCCTGACCATCCAAAAAAAAGGCTGAGCAAACACTTGAAAAAGTTACCAAAAAAAAAGCCAAGAAAAGATGACTTCATAGAACCAAAGAATGTAGTAAAGGAACACATCTTTCAAAAACATGTCATTCCCCCCTCCTCAAACACAAAATCTCTAAGATGTTCTGTTAATGAGGAAAAATTTTAAAATGCAAACATGGTTTTAAAATGCTGAATTTTGGAGGGGGGTTGCTTGTTTTGGAATTGTTTACTGCCTTAGAAAACAGCAAGTAAATGGACTAAGTGAACAGACATATTTCTACATGAGTGGTGTGCTAGTATTCATTTGAATGCAGGGGCCTATATTTAACTGAGAAAGCAACTGTTTACTTAAAAGTAAGTAAAAGGAACAGCTGTCAAATTCTCTGGCTCCAAGAAACTATCTTAAAGCTTGCAACTGCAATTCAATCAAATACATTCACTTATGATCCCAAACACATGAGTTATAGATTCTAAAATCAAATTAAAAAAAGGACTCAAAATGCAGAATAAAAATACAGAATACATTCTTAGCGCTTCAGGGTTCAAAAAGTGTTTTTAAAACCATTAAAAAAATAATTTAAATAATCATTCACCAAGCTAATCTGGTAAAAAAGGTCAGATTAAAATTCAGCTGAGAACCACTTACCCGTCTTATCAAGACTTACCCCTATGGGTGACAAATTCAGCCAGGCCTGGTGAAGCTTTCCAAGGTGCTGACATTGCAGCTAGATGGTGCTCGGCGCCTTCCAGGACCTGCCCTCCTCCCCATGTGGCATGTAGGTACCGCCCTTCATGACACAACACCTACAGAACTTGCTCAGAACCCTTCTGGCTGCTAAGTTTTGGGATAATTCCACTGTGCTGAGGATTCACGCAGGGCTTTTGTTCCCTTCCAGCCTCTCAGGCAGGGGGAGAGGGCAGGAGAATCCCAGCTGTGAGTGCTGTAAGGTAGCTCCTCTCTGCCTCCCCCACCACACAGCTCTGTACCCATTTACCACAGTTCTTGACACTCAGCCCTCCTCACTCCCAGACCCACTACAGCCACACTAGGGGACCAAAAATCTCAACATTTATTTCCTACTAATTAAAACAAACATAACTCAATAAAAGAACCCCAAAGCCAGGTTACTTTTCCTATATAAGAAGCTTAGAAAATACCAAAAGGTTAGTCAAAGACTGCAGCAAACACCTACCTCATTGGCTCTTTTTATTATCTTGTCATCTATGTCTGTGATCCCCATCACCATGATAACTTCAATTCCAAAAAACCTTGTCATTATCCTTCGAATTATATCAAACCTAACATAGGAGCTGGAAGAGAAAGAAACATGAGCTTTTGAACATGCAGTAGTAAGAATAAACTTAAACAAAAATAACCAACAGCCACACGGACAATCTAATTCATCTCAACACCTACAATGAAAAGATCTTCAGTGCATAAGGTGTTTTTCCAAAACCAGTTGCTACCTGCACAAAAGTCAAGCAAATTTCTCTTGAACTGGCCTACCCTCTTCTGGCATTAGTGACACATTACATCAGATTTTCTGAGTTTTCTTTTGTTGCATCTCTTTATTCAAAGGGTATCACAAGCTACATGAGCCTGGAGACTCTTTCAAAGCCAACACGACAAAACAAGACACAGAGATCAGATGTTCTTGAAATACATCCCTTGGGCTTAGTATATCCTAACAGGTTTTCAAAAGTCATGCAGCAGAAGAACACGGACAAATAAAGCAGGATTCAAATTAATTTTTCTTAGGGTTGAGTAACAACAGATACCAGCCACCAATAAAGTATTTCAATCGCACACCATCACAGATCTTTTCTGAGAGCAAAGAATAGATGCTCTATAGCTTATTCTGTTTTATTTACACTTGAGAATAGAAGCTATTCTGAAAATTATTCAGGGCTTGTGCCACAAAGCAGAGTATTTAATGCTGATAGACTGATGGATATACAAGCTGTATAGGGCTGCTGCAGCTCCTTCTGCTCACAGACTCTCCATTTGTAATTCTCAGAACACACTTTGAGTTAAACCAAATTACTAGGTGGGAAACTAGAAGGTGACTATAATCTCTGTGTCTGCTCCGCAAGATGATGAGAATCCTCAGCCTTTCTGGGCTCTGTTTTCTCTAAAGCCAGCAAGGAGGTTCACAGACCTACAGGTTCCCATTTCACCCACAGCATCACACAAACTGCAACTCCCATGGCCGTCAGAACAAAGTGTAAGCAACTACAGAAATGGATTTGCACCCTTCCCAGCAGGTGCCAGGTAGCACTAAGATACTGATTTACAGATGCATAATACCTTGATGAAGAAAAATACTTTTAGTTGTTGTTTGTGCTGTGCCCATGCTGAAAAAAGACTTTTGAAAGCCTTGCTGCCAGGGAGACAGTTTTTAATGAATAGCAGCTCACTGGGAGTAAGGCTCATCTAATGTGGTGACACGATTCCATAAGAATATTAAATTGGCCTTTGGATCCTGTTCAGAGGAACAAGGCCAGCATCAAAAGCTTGATATTAGATTTAACAGCCCTGCAGTCACTGTTCCCAGAGCAGGCACAAATTTCACACTGTTCCCTCTCCTCTCATCTTCCAACTGAATTAATGAAAGAAACTCTGCAAGAACAAGAGCAGAATTCCTGATACCACAGGGTCTTTAACACTTCAGGACTGATAAAAAAAAAAAAACAGCCAAAACAGACAGTGAAGATCAGGGGGTGGCAGAGCACATGCAAGAGAAATCTCTTGTGGCTGGTTTTACTCTTACTTCAAAGCATTCAGCCAGGAACCTGGATGCCAACCAGGCTGCAGGTCAAACCAGTACAACCAAGGTCAGACCCAGAACTGGGAAAAAAAAAATAGTATTATTTGCCTGTCTTACTTTTTTCTCTATATAGAATGGGTGTTGGATGTCATATGGAGGCAGACAGAGCATCTGGTTTTAAGACTGGAAGCACAACATACTAAAGAATGTTAAATTATTTAGAGAAATAAGAACTCCTTGTGGAATGGAAAGAGGACAGGAGAAAAATAATGCCATTATTTCCAAATTCTCCTCAAGGATCTCAAACTCATTTCCATTATCCATTTCTACTTTATTACCTGCTCCATTTGTTGTATTTGACACAAGTCGAGTGTAAGACAGAGGGGAAAAAGGGAACTCTAGTGAGAAGAGAACATGTGGCAGGAGTACAACAAAATGATGGTATTTAACAAGAGCAGCAGAGTAGCAACAGCCACCACTCCATCTGACTTTATGCTATTTCCCGGTGCCTCTCCTGGGCCCCAACAGCAGCTACATTTCAGCTGTTCTATGGCTGGACCTAGCTACTGGGGGGAAAAATACCATTTTTAAAAATAAATAAATAAATAGAACCAAGAGTGCTCCACTATCCTGAACAAATCAGCTGAGCAACACGATGTCAACACTGACATGTGTAAGACCAGAGATACTGGAAAGGAAGAGCCAACTCCTCCCATGCTAGAAGGTTTAACTGATGAGAAAAGAGAGCTAAAGGTCTCCAGTGCAGACACCTTGTCATGCAGCAGGAACAACAAGTGAAGGTGCTTAAAGAAGTGATAAAAGAGAGAATTATACCTGGTGTATCTGCATGATACACCAAGGGCAATATTCAGCACTAACCATTCTTTCTTAAATTAGCACATGAAGAGGTCAGGCCCGGGTGACACAGATATACAGCAAACCTCCACAGTGGGAAAGCTTGAAATTGCTAGTTTAGACATGGGTAAGAAAAGATGGGTAAAAAACAGGCAAATATAAGCAAGGCCTTTCTACTCCCTCTTTTAATCAAGAAAGTCTGAGGGCAAGAGAACCACTGAAAAAAACACATTTAAAAGCCCTGAGAGCTGCAAGACCAAAGGGTCTATAAAACACTGTGGTCTAGATCAAATATATCCCTTAGGACAGAAGCACCTCTGCAATTCCCTTCCCTGTTATACCACGTCAGGCCCTACCACACTAAGAGAACCTCAAATGAGGGATAAAGAAACTTATAACCATCTTTTTTACACAGTCACTTTCAAGTTTTAAGATTTTTTAAGATTTTAAATCGTAATTATTTCAACGTAAACTGTAATGGAGCCTGTATCACAAAGAGCTGTCAATTTAAATACACAAATTACTATGATTTTCAAATAAAAAAAGTTCCCCTGAAAATACTTAGTACAAACAACAAGGCCAAGATATCATGTTCTTGATTTTTAGGTCACCAGTAAAAAGCTAGGTCAGTTTTCTGCTGAGACTTGACAAAAGCAGAGAGGAAAAAGACACCACAACATACACGCAAGAGTACAGTACAGTAGCATTAACAGTACAGTAGCATTAACGAGGAAAAAGACACCACAACAAAAAAAGAAAAGCAAGAGTACAGTACAGTAGCATTAACAGTACAGTAGCATTAACATTAGCACTGACAACAGTACTTTCACATAACTGGTATTTTAAGTCTTCCTTTTTACAGAACAAAGCAGCAGTTATGCAGTTACTGTGTTGGCTCAGTTCAACTTGAGCAAGATTCAACACAAGTTTCTGAATGAAGTTGAGACAGGATGAGAAGCTGTGAAATCCCTTACATTGAATGGGAATTATTCGGTTACTGAAATGCACAATATCTGATCTTCATACAGATGGCAATTATCTGATAAACCCCTGCTCTACCAAAGAGCCCAACACAACTTGCTCTTTAAGAATGCAGAGACAGAACCTTAAGAGCAGTTTGAGCCTCTGCAACTCCCCGCAGTTTCACAGGAATAGCAGACACGCTGCATGTCTACTCATCAGGTGTGTTGTTTTGAAACAGGTGCCAGCAACCTCTTCTGGTGTGTTTAAAGTACTTTTTCAAAGTTACTTATAATGAAATTAGCTTATTGTTCTAACAGTCCTAATGAACTACAGAGAAAAACCTGTGCTGTTCTGGATTGGTGTTTTATTTTTAAACATAGTAAGCCACAGCAGTGTTACTCTGCAGAAAGGTCTTTAAGGTACCTGGACTTTCTTAAGATGCGATGTGTTCGATGTGTACGAACCTTGAAAGTACCTTTCCATTAGCCAACCTTGTATGGCTTTTCCTTGGTGCCAACACAGTGCCTGACCTAACCTGAGGTGAAACTATCTTTTCTCACAGCTGAGAGGCTCTGTTCCAGGATCAGGACTCCTCCACATGAGAGCTCACACTATGCTGATATGATTTGAAACAACTCACCCTACCCAAACAAACTGCACGTATTCCTGATGCTTCTTCCCAAGACACAGACACGCACTATCTCTGCCTCAGCCAGGCAGCAGAACCACAGCCCCGTTACGGACTACCCAGCCCAAGAGGAAAAAATACGTAACAAGCAGACTTTTGCCCTTTGCACAGCACAGGAGGTGAAGGGCTGGGCCTTGTGTCACCAGTCACAGCTCTGTCAGTAGGACACACTGCAGCATGGGGATGTCCAGCACTGCGTATCTGCCTGGATCCCCCGGCACCACTGGTGTGGGCAAGTCCAGCACTGTGTATCTGCCTGGATGCCCCCATGCTGCAATCCACGACTCACCAGGCGTGCCCGAGGTGTGCATGGTCATACACTGTCGGCCCGCAGCTGTACCTGCAGAGAGGAGAGGCAAACAGAATCACAGAATTGCTAGGGTTGGAAGATCACCCAGCCCAAATCCCTGTAAAGGCAGGGTAACCACAGCAAGTGACACAGGAATGTGTCCAGGTAGGTTCTGAACGTCTCCAGAGAGGGAGTCTCCATGCACCACCTGGACAGCTTGTCCCAGTGCTCTGCCACCGTCAACATAAAGAAGTTCTTTCCCATGTTGAGGTGAAACTTCTTGTATTTTAGTTTAAGGCCACTGCTCCTGTCGCTAGGCACTGCTGAAAAGAGCCTGGCATCTTTTCTTGACACCCATCTTCGATATATTTATACGTATTGATGAGATCCCCTCTCAGTCTTTGCTCCTCTAGACTAACAGGCCCAGCTCCTGCAGTCTCTCTTCTCAAGACAGACGCTCAGGTCCCTTAATCACCCTTGTGACCCTTCGCTAGACCTTTTCAGCAGCTTCATGTCTGTCGTGTACTGAAGCCCAGAAGGGGACACCGGAGCTGTTTGCGGACACAAGCCGCTCCTGTCACCGCCGCCACCCCCACGCCCGCCCGCCGCGCCGCAAGGCGCTACCAGGTCGCCACTCCTTCCGTGGCCAGCACGAGCGGCTCCTTGCTCTGGCTCCGGCTGTTGTAAGCCACGATTCCGCTGTCGCGCCCCGCCGGAGGCGCCCACTGCCGCCGCCGCGCAGCGCCCGAGCACCGCCGCGCCCCCGCCTGCCCCCGGGCGGGGGCAGCGTCGGGCCGCTCTGCTCCGCTCCGACCGCTCCGGCCGCCGTCCGCGGAGCGCTGCTGGGGTGAGCCCGCGGTGCGCGGCCTGGGCCGGCCGGGTCCCGCTGGCACGGCGCGTACCTAGCCTTGTGTTTCGGTATAACCCCAGCGCGGCTTCTTCTTAGCGAGGTTTTTAAGGGAGATGTTTGTAGGAAATGTGTGACTAATTCAGCATAATGGTCTCCACTGTGTCAAGTCAGTTCGGTCACTTTAGGAGTGAATCTATTTTTGCATTGCCTTTCAGGTCAGAGAACGGCTGGCAGCCTGTTAGCTCATGAAAATAAAACAGGTGTGACATTCCCAAACTGGACTTAATAAATCAGTCTCAGAAAACACTTAATGCGCCCCCCTTGTACAGACTCCCACGTATTTGTATAAAGTGTTACCTGACCTAGACATTGTCAAAAAATGACAGCAAGTGTTGCCAAGTATCTGGTGAGGTACCCTGGCCTTTAACCCAGCTGACTGTCAAGGTCTGCTTCCTCACTGAGGATTTTTTTTTCTTTCTTTCAGAGCATATGGAGGAAATGAAGCTTAACTGGCTGCAGTACCTTAAACCACAGCTACTCAACTAGAATGAATAACAGTGTAATGGAACAGACATAAGGGTACCAATGAGTATCTTGTTTCCAAAAGTGACTGTGAGCAGCTACCAAGGAAACAAGTGAGAATTCCACAAGTTTATAACCACAAAGATGATCAGACAGATGGAACAGGTATCCTCTGAAGACAAGCTGAGAGTTGGGGCTGTTCAACCTGGAGAAGGCTCTGGGAAGACCTTACAGCACCTTCCAGTACCTAAAGAGGACTTACAGAAAAAGGGGAGAGTGACTCTTTACTTGTACAGATAGTGATAGGACAAGGGGGGAACAGTTTTGAACTCAGAGAGGAAAGACTGAGATAGATGTTCGGAAGAAATTCTTTACTCACAGGGCAGGGAGGTTTTGGAACAGGTTGCTCAGAGAAGCTGTGGATGCCCGATCCCTGGAAGCGTTCAAGGCCAGGCTGGATGAGGCTCTGAGCAACCCGGTCTAAGTGAAAGGTGTCTCTGCTAATGACAGAGGGGCTCAAACTGGACTATCCTTAAGGTGCCTTCCAACCCAAGCCTTTCTATGATTCTGTGAATATTTTCCCAGATATTTTTCCAGCTTCCAACCAGATGGCATCCTCAGCTGAATATCTTGTGGTGGTTTTTTTTGCCTCACACCCCCAAGTTTTTGTACCCATCCTCATAGATTGCTATGCCATTAATTTCCCCATTCTCTGTGAATCCACATCAGTCCCAGGCTTTGCAAGGAGTACTGCAGGTCTAGTGGCATCTTCAGGAAGCACCCTCTTGGCATGTGTTGAACTCTAGGCCTGTGAGCTCCAGTTATAGCCACCTTGCTCTTGTACAAGGAGAGTGAGTGAACTGCCAGTGCCAGCATGTTGTCTGTCTTGCTCCTGACTGTCTTCCACCCAATCCTCTAAACAGGCTGTTCAGGGCAGAGCCTTTTCAGGTCTCTCAGACCACCGTGTTACCTGCTAAGGGCACCTTGCTGGTCTTTGGGAGGAAGGCAATACTGAACACTCACAGCTTTTCTGGACTGGATGCTGCAGGTCTGCCTGTGGTGAGCTGTCTCACAGAAGTGTTTGTATTGTTTCCTCTTCTATCTGCCAGGGATGACTTTAATAGATTTTTCTCATAAGTAGTAAGATAATTTAAAATTATTGCTTTTACATAATACTTGATGTCTGTCTACACCTTTCTTAATTTTAGAACATATCAGATATAAAGACTTACCAGTGGCAAATGTTTCCTTTTTATTTTAATAGGTACTTTCCATAGAATTTGTCATTTAACAATCTTAACTTTTTGATCAAATAAGAAACCTATTTTATGGTCTTGTTAATTTAAGACTACCTAGGATGAAATTCAGGATACCATCCAATAACCTTTGTAAATGTTTGCTTTGTATGTTTCTCAGGAAGCTTCACAAGCCAATTATTTCAGCTTCCATAATGAGCTGGTTTTGATGTCTTGCTGTTCAACACACATCTAGTTAAGAGTTGTCATTAACTCTGTTGTCTTCTTTGTTCTGTACGGTTCCAAGCACTTTGACGGAGTTCAAATCAATACTAAGTAACAATGGATGTTTTTTAGGCTTAATTCCAGGTTTAGGTGTCATGGGTGAAACTGCCAACAGATCAGAAGAATGCAAGAGCCTTTTCTTCCCCATTGGTTTCAAAGGCTTAGTGTCTGTGCTAGCCAGACTGGCTTTTAGCATTTAGTCCCAAAACCTCTATGTCCTGCTGTAAAATCTTATTTTCTGATGGTGGGAAAAGCCACAATTATTAAATGCCTGAAATAAACAGCTAACATCATTCATGCTTGAGATTTAATGCAAAAGAATACATCTAGTGGAATGGTGGAAAGTGTTCTTCAAACACCGAAGTACAAAAAGAACCTAATTTCAAATAAAAGCAAAATTAATACTGGTGGAGAAAACCCATAAATTATTCATATTAAAAATACCAGCATTCTCAGAATCAATTGGTCTGTGGCTGTAAGCATACCTCCATTTTATGCCACCTATACCTGTACCCTTACTCCTGTTCTGGGACATGTGCACAACAGTCATCAACCAGAAAGGGAGAATAGCAGCAGAAGATTTTATGCCATCAGGAGACCTTTGCTTCCACCTGGAGTAGAAGATGCCTTTGGAGGTTTCAAGCAGTTGGAGCCAAAGTACACATGATCAGTGCCAGGCCTGGGCCTGCTGTACTCCTGTTGCTTCAGCACTAGCTGAATAGCCAGGAGGAAATGTGATCTGCAGAGCAGTACAGCTCTTAGTCACAATCCCACTGCAGCATGTCTGTCTGAGCTTCAGGTAAACTGTTGTTTCAAAGGGACATGTGTATTTAGTATTGTCAGGTCATGTTTCAAGGCTAAAACTTCCTTTAAATTAAAAACTGAAGCTCAAAGGTAAAAGGGTGACTCATGAACACCTTAGAAGGAATCTCTATGTTTTCTGTTCCTTTATCTGCGTGTGTAAAAGGCAATGTTTCCCCTCCATCCTTGATCAAGAAGGAAGTCTGTTAGAAGCACATCTCTGTGTGCTGTCCATCAGCAGTGCTGGCAACATTTCTGTGGTGAGCAGGGAGAATCTTTGGGGATTTTGGCTCACCTGGCTTCTGTATTTTCCAATTTCCAGTCCCAGGAATACCTATAAGATTTGCCCCCAGAGGTAAGATCCCAGAGCATGTTTTGTATCATACATGAATAAAGCTAAAAAACAATTTTCCATTTCCATGTATTATACGGAGACACATGCTTTGTAATTTTTTACAGTTTCCCCCCTACTGCTAAAGGTGCTGTATTTTCATTTCTAAAAAATTCAACCACACCATTTTAGAACTGTTGGCAGAGGAAAAAGGTTGCATTTGCTGTGTTAGCAAGAGCATGTTTCCATTATCTGTGGCCCTTCTCATCAAGTTATAGTTCAGAAACCTGACAAGGAAGCTGAACCGGAGAAAATACGGGGGCAAAGGTTATAAAGACAAATTACAAACCAGAAGCAAAGATGAGCTAAATCCACTGCAGTGGACTGAATTTCTGCTGGTGTTCTGTAGTAATCTGTAATTACAGACACATTTGACTTTTACAGTCTTTTTATTTTTCGAAAATATAGGTGCTTACTGGTTTGTTTCAGAATCTTGTTTGATTTTTAAAAGGAGACTAAAAATTGCCTCAATCTTGTTACAAATGCTTGGCTCAGAAATATTGTAAATGTTGAGTGGCCATTCCACCAAATAATCACAAGGTAAAGAGTATGCTTTATAAAAGAGAAATCATCTTGAGAAATCTATTTGAAAAGAGTAATTCTGGGGATAGGGAGTAACACTGCAAAAGAAAAATCATTAGTGGTGGACATATATAACCAGTTAAACTTTCTTGCTCTTACCAGAAGTCTATTAGCTCTTAGCATAACCTACTACTGTTCAGAAAACCTACCTACCAACTGCTCTGACATACATTGCCTGTTTTTCATTGGCAGTGTTTGGGTCCTGCACCACAGCTGACCACAAGTCTGAGGGTTGGTATGAATTCAGTCAGGGTTCAGACAGGTGTCTTTGTCAGTGGTTTCCAACTGCTGAGGTATATCTCTCTTGAATTCACTAAAGGAATGTGAAGCCCATGGAATATGTTGCCCTTGATCTGTGTTCATTCCATTGACACTCTGGGACAACTCCTGTGTATTTTCCTTGGCCTTCTATGCATTTTCTTGGCTCTTCTAAATGCACATTTACTTGTTCCAGTCAAAATTTTTTGCTGACCTTTAATATCAGTGTAATGCTGTTTAAGCTCACTATGCTTTGGAAGTGCACTAGTGCAGCAGGTGCAAGAAAAAGAAGGCAGTAGCCAGGAAGCAGGTGTGGGAAGAGGCAGTGAGTGCAACTGCCTTGGGGCAAGCAGAGGAGGAGATGTGAAATACCTGATAAAAACAGGCAGAAGTTTAAAACAGCAGGCCAATGTTAGGTAGGCATTTGGAAAGTTCATTAAATTCTTGAGCCTTTACTGGGAAGCAGCAAAAGGACAAAAACAACTAGATTTGTTTTCCAGATTTTAGAATCTATTAATCCAACATTACTTGGTGACATGAACGGGTATTTCTGGCCTAAATGTCTGTAAACAGTATATACTATCCAGGGCACAGCCAATGCATATTGCATGAGAGGGTGAGCCATGACTCTGCTGGTCTTCACACTTGCAAACCTCAGCTCTGCTCATCTTGCACGTTAATTGTTTGTGCTTTTGTTTCAAAACTTACAACCACAAGCAAAATTAACAGGCTTGTAAAATTCTATTACCATCATCCACGTAAGCATGAATTTAGCCTCATAAAGAATAAACAGACAAACAAGCAAGGAAAAAACCCTCCAAGCATATGTAACTATAGAAGAGGGATTAAGCTATTAAATGATGCGGAAACAGCAATTCATTAGCAGGAATAAACCCATCTGATTCGTCTGTACTATAAAGTATAATGACAAATTATCAGAAGACACTATATTTTCTAATAAACAGAGACACAGCTGTAATGATTACATAGTATTTCACATAGCAATATTCAGCTAAGGCAGAGAAGGAGAAAGGAGGCAGCCAGAATTCCTTGTACCAGCTACGTAATATGTGCATTTGTGGAACGTTTGGAGGTTTGGGATTTTACATTCCTCATACTGAGTATTCTGAACTTTGTGATGATTAGGTGGGATAACCATAATGACTGGAACAACTATAATTACTAAAACATTCCTGTTATATGAAGTGTATTTTGTATATACACCCATGGTATGTATATGACACGGTAGTTGTGCAAGTTGTTGATCTGGTAGTAAGTTCCCTTGATTCCAACTGCTGTGAGTTTAGATCTGTAGTAAGGCAACAGCTTCAAGAAACTTCTGAAAACCTCAGATACTTGGGGTTCTAAATAGGAAAGATTTTTTATAAACAGAGCACAGGGGCTTGGGAGCCCAAGGTGGAGAGACACATACTTTTATCCTCTGTCAAATATAGGAAATAGGAAGAAAATTAACCCCAGGAGTCTCTTTCTTCATTGATACATGACATTCACTTCTTGAGAATCCTTCTCCAGAGTAAGAAATGGGCCCCTAATACGAAAAGAATGTCTGAAACTCTATTCAAAATCTCCCATCTCTCATCTATTGTAGTTCAGAGGCAAGAGGCCAAAATAAGAAGAAAGCAGAGGAGAAGGAGGAAAAGCAGAGATGGGCATTGGGCATCAGCCCCATACCTTCTAAAACTTTCCATGCTAGAGATGTACTTGTACACCTGATTTTATCCTTCCCACCCCTCCCACCCAGCTTCCTAAAACAATGACTGACCTGCTGCTGAGCTTAGAGGGGGGTGCAGAGAATTGATGTCTGGGTACAGGTATATATTTGATTACAGCACTATACAAAGCACTGAGCATCATCACAGAGCTCAGTCCCTTCCTGTCCCAAGGACTTGTGCAAATTCCGTGATGGTTTTCTCTGTCACTCTTCTTCTTTTTACATACAAGAAGCTAACAGAGGAGGATCTAGTAGACAGCACTTTTAAAAGCCAGAGGATAACAAGCTCTTCAAACTCAGCACATCTGAACTATCAATACTTTTGTTGAAAGATAGTATTGCTGTAACTTAGCAGGCTACTATTACACTTCAGTGTTTCCCTTCCTAATTTTTTTTCTTGTCTACTAAGAGGTGGGACAAAAGTTCCTGTTTAGTAAATTAGCAGGTACTTTTACAAAATCATTTTTTATTCATATGTGTAATTACTTGTGTGTGTCTAGAATGATGATTACCTTTTTTACAAGAATGACTCTTTTTAGGACTCATCTGTATTCTTTTCAGATTGCCTCTACTGAGTCATAATTATTGGCTTGGATTCTTACACTACCCAGGGGACTGTTAACTACCTTTAATTGCTGACAGTGGCTCACCTTCTTGAAGACAAGAAGGCTTTAACTACCAGATAGGTGCCAACAATCTAGAATTGGACTAGGAATACCTATTCCCAGGCTAGTGCAGCCATTAGACAACTCCCTCTCTATGCCACAGTAAAGCAAAGCACACACGTCCAGAAACACTGGCTTGGAGCAATGCCTAGATGCCATGGCGCTTTTAAGTTAAAAACCTGAGACCTTGTGTATGGGGGTTTTATTTACTTCAGCAACTCATTTTTTTTTTTTAACAGCAACTCCTGGAAACAGAAAATGAGAGGAAGAAAATAAGGGGAGAACTTACAGGGATCTCCAGCAAACAAGGAAGTGCCCTCTGACATCTGCCCGAAACAGCGGGCCGGTATCAGTTCAGAAAGTTTGGTCTGTGTTACCGTCTCCACTCCTCAGAAAGTATTTGGGTGCATGTCTCCCACTGGAGGGTGGGAGGGAGGATACTGGAAGTACGGCTAAACAGCTGCCCGTTCCTCCCTGAACACCCCACTTCTGGGCGTTCACACGCCACGCTGATGGCAGCAGCTGAGGCAGTTAGCAGGGGCTGAGACGCTGAGGTGCCCAGCCAGGCCGCCGCCGCCGCGGCGAGCGCAACGCCAGCGCCTCACCGAGCAGCGACTGCACCGGCGAGTCCGGGCGCTCACAAGTGATGACTCAGTCTCCCCTAAATTAGGGGATTGCCAGTGACGTCTGCTAAAAAAAAACCAAAAAAAACAAGAGGCAGAAAGCGCACGTTGTTTTGCTTCAGCAGAGCGGGGGAAGGTCTTTCCAGCCCCGCCTTCCCCGCTCCTGGCTCCCCGATCCGGGCAGAGCCTGCAGGCTCCGGGACACGGCAGCGACTCCAGGACACAAAGACAATGTTGACCGCAGCGGGGCTCCTCCGCACGGCCGCCGGGACACTGTGGCGGGGAGAAAGCGGGCGGCACAGGGCTGTACTCGGGCTCTCCTTCTGCTCCTCCTCGCCGGCAGTAAGCCCTGTCCGCCGGCAACCATCGGAGCGGGGGCGTTCCGCCGCCGGCCTCCTGTACAACGCAGCCCCCGGCGGCGTCCCCCGGTGACCCTTCCCTCGCCACCGCGCGGGATAAGGGAGCCGCAGCAAACTCGTCCGCTCGGGCCCTCTCCCTCCTTCCCTTTTCCTCCCCTCCCGCCCTCCAGCCAGACCGGCCCTCGCGCATGCGCAACCGACCGGGGACCGCTGGGAAACGTAGTCCTACTGCGTCCCTAACGCCTCCATTTTCTCCCCGTCGCCAGAGGAATCGCGAGTGCGCAGGCCCGCCCCCTCCCCTCGGGCGTTACCGCCCCCTCTGCCGCGGCGCGCGGTATCCCGGGCAGCGGTGTCACAGCGGGGATTGGCCGAGGGCGCCGCGGGGCGGGACGCGAGGGGCGCAGTGATTGGCTGCGGCGGCTGTCAGGCGCCGCGGGGTGATGGATGCGGGTGCCCGCTGAGGAGGGAGGGACGGAACGCTCCCCGTTTCCCCTCGGCGTCCGGCGCCGCGCCGGGCACAGCCCTGGTCGCAGCGCGGGGTGGCGTCGCATGGTTCTCAGTGTTCCCCTCTCCTAGGAAGGGCTTCGTAGCCGCTCCATCCCGGGCGAGCTGGCAGGAGGCGAGACTCCTCCAAAGTCCCGGTACCCTACCGCAAAAGCATTCACTTGCCCCCGCGATCCCCCAGCCTCCCCTCGGGCCGCTCGCCTCGCAGCCTCCGCGCAACTTCACCGGAGCCTCCGCCTTCCCCGGGGCTTCCTTCACCCCACGCCCACGCCGGCCCTGCACCGCCCGCCCCCTGGCTCGGCCCGCATCCCCGCCGCCTTCCCTCCCTTCTCTAAACGTGAGTAAGGGAGGCGGGACGATGGATATGCGGAGGTTCCGGGCGGGGGAAGGGATTGAGTGTGTGCGGTGAGTGTGTGAGAGAGAGAGAGAGTGTGTGTGTGTGTGTGTGTGTACACAGCGCTGGGAGAGAGCGCATGCGCCCTGGCTGGCGGGGCCGAATGTTTCCCAAGTGTTTGAAACTGGTATTTGGGTTTTCCACGTTGGATCTAGCGCGGCGTATGGGAGCGAGGAGGCTGCGTTGATATCGCCGGGGAGCGGCGGCGGCGGTGAGGAGGAGAGCGGGGAAGGGGGGAGCGGAGGAGAAGCGGAGCAGAGCGGCGCTGGCGCAGGCAGAGGGGCTGCCGCTGCCTCTGACAGACACTTTGCAGAGCACATTTTGTTTCCAGATTGTTTCGGAGGAGCTGGTTTAAGCCCCCCTCCTTTCTCCTCCTCCTCCTCCCCCCCTCCCCACACACACACACACACAAATCCCTCTGATTGTTCTTACCACCTCCTTCGTGAATTACCCACAACGACAGCCATTCAATCAGCTGCTGCTGGCTGTAGGGGACTAGCGGAGGGTGTGTGTGTGTGTCTCTCTCCCTCTTTTTCACACAAGAGGAGTCAGATGTAGCTTCCCTCGGTTTTTTCGGGGGGAGCTACCGAGAGAGGTGGGCAGGGAGTGAGACCTTCATCGGGGTTACCGTCTTTGAAGGGAGCAGCACTTGCTCTCACACGGAGAGGTGTGGGGAAGGATTTTTGTTTCTTTGCCGGATGAAAATGTTGAGTCCTGCAAACGGAGACCAGCTTCACCTAGTGAACTATGTGGAGGATTATCTGGACTCCATCGAGTCTATGCCCTTCGATCTGCAGAGAAATGTCTCCTTGATGAGGGAAATTGACGCCAAATATCAAGGTAAGTGTTTTCTATGTATGTGTGTGTCCGTGTGTGTGGTTTGGGGCTCGGGGGGAAGGGTGTCTTTCCCTTTCTTTTCTTTAGAGCTGAGCCTCGGCTCCGTTTGCCCCTCTGCACCCCACAGGGATGGTAGCTTTATTTTTGAGAGGTAAAAGGAGGAAGAAAGCCGGGAGGAAAGATCCGAGGAGAGAGAGGGACTGATCTGCAGCGTTAGCTCTTGTCATGGGGCGGAACAAAAGGTCTCCGGCTTTTCTTATTAAGCAAGGACTCTGCTTTTCTGTGTAAATTGCTGGCCAAGAAGGCGGGGGCAGGGAAGTGGGGTGTACGGTGCACAAAGGGGGGCCGTCCCTGGCCGTGGGGCTGAGGTGGAAGCGTTTGGGGGTACGGAGGAAAGTGCTGGGTGGATAGAGGGGGTAGAGATTACAGCACAACATTTAGGAATGTACAGTATTCATTATGGCTGTAGTAGGGGAGAGAGGCAGCTAGTGAAGGAGGGAGGGAAGGAGGGAGGGAGAAGAGGAGAGGGGGGTTAGGCGAGAGCGGGGGGCAGGGTGTGCTTTCTTCGCTCCCTCCTCGGTGGGTTTCGTTTCACCCGGTGAAACAGCCCCGCTCCGTTGGGCGGGGGGGCCGAGGGGGCAGGACCGGCGTGTGCGGTGTGAGTGGGGGGGAACGACACACACGGTCGCGTTTACGGCTGGGCTGAAGCGCCCCCTCCCTCGCCGCGCTCGGGGCACGCCGTCCCCGTCCCCACGGGCGGAGGGAAGGAAGGGGAGGCCGGTTTGCGGGACTCGGGGCAGCTTTGTCACTTGGTCGCTGGCGTCCGCTCGAGAACGGAGGGGGGGGGGGGGGGCGCTTTATTCTGTGCCGCAGGTAGCGGTGACAGCCGGGGTGCCGGGAGGGGGGACCCCCTCTCCCTGTCCGCGCCGCCGTGCATGTGGCCTTAGGGGCGGTGGGCACCGAGCCCTGCCTGCCGTTGCCTCAGCCTCTCCTCGGGCAGCTCACCATGGGAGCCCGTCAGCTCCCAAGGGAAGGGTCCGGGGGAAACTTCTTCAGGAGCCCGCGGGGGTTTGTCGGGGGTGGGAAGGGAAGAAAAGGACAGAGCGGGCATCACGCCCGACAAAACCACGTCCAGCGAGCACCTCCGCGCTGTGCTAGGAAGGGGCGTCCGTGCTGTTTTTATAGACAGGTCTCGTTAGCATATCGCGGTTGGCCACGCCCGTCGGGGGCGCTGATAGGGCGGGGGCGTCCCCACGGGCCGGCCGTGCCCCGCCTCCCCGCGCGGATTGGCTGCGGGGCCGCGCCGACCCGTCTCGCGCCCCCGCCCCGTTGTGACGTTTCGAGAAGCAACTTTTCCGTGGGGTTGATTTGAATATCTCAGCCGGCCCCGGCCGACGCGCTCTGATTGGCCGGGCTCGCAGCAGGGGGCGGGGCAACCTTGGCCGTCCGGAGAGTGACTGACGTGTCCGGGGGGGGGGGGGGGGGGGGCGCGCCCGGGGGGGGGGGGCCTGGCCCGACCCCCCCCGAGCGCCCCGCGGGGGGGCCCGGCCGGGGTTACGGCTGGGCTGAACCACTGCGAGCCGGCGGGACACGGGGACACGCCGGGGCGCGGCCGGGTAGGGGACAGACAGGGGCGGCCCCCGGTGCTCGCGGCGCGTTACCTCCTGACGCGTCCGGTCCCCCCACGCCGGCCTCCGGACTGATGGCACCGGCACCCGCCGCGGCCGAGCCCTCCGCTTCCTCAGGCACCTCCAGTTCCATGGCGGCCGCGGGCAGGCGCAGCCCCGGGGCAAGACAGGCCCCGGACAGGCCAGCGCCCGCCGCCGCGCTCCTCCCGGGTACCGGCCGCGGCGCGGGGGACCCTGGGAGCGCCGCGGACCATAGAACGCGGGTGGCGCCGCGGCCAGACACGCCCCGAACAGTGCCGGAAGCACAGCGGGGCTTTTCCGCCGGAGTTAATTGCGATGCGGCGGAGGGCTGTCGCGATAACCCGCGGGCTGTGGCATTCGACGGGGGCGGGGAGGGACAAGGGAGGCCGCAGCAACTCCCGCCGATCCCTCACGGTGCGGCGGCCGCGACACCTCCGGTGGAGGGGGAAACACCACAGGGTCGGGGGGCGGGGCCTACGGTCACCATGGCAGGGGGGCGCCGCTGCTCCAGCCGCACCTCGCTCGTGACTGGCCGGAGGGGGCGGGGCCGAGCGCGCTCCCTCCCGTCGTGATTGGCCGCTGCTCCGTGTCAATCACTCGTTTGTTACCCCGCGAGGGTCCGTTCGGCTCCGCTCGGGACGGCGGGGGCGGGTCTGCCCCGCCCCCCCCGCGCCCCCGGGACCGCCGCGGGTGCCAGGGGACGTCCCGGTTTCCTGCCCGAGAACAATGGCGGCTCCGTCACCTCCGGGGCGGCCCCGGGCGCCGCAGAGGGGCGGGGAGGAGGCCGGGCCCTCGCCCGGGAGCCGCTCGCCGTCGTTCCGCCGTGTCTCAGCCCCCGTGAGGCTGCGGAGCTGCGCTGGCAGTGAGGCTGTGGCGGCACGGCTTCCCTCCGCTTGAGTGCCGTTCGTGACGCCCGGAGCGTGCGTTCGCCAGGGGCTCAGAGCGCGGCTTGCCGCTGTTGGAGCGCGGTTTGCTGGCATTGCCGTGCCCTGCGGCTCCCTCCCGAGGCGGGCAGCTGCGCCAGCCCCGAGCCGGCCCGGGGGCCCTCAGCACCGAGGGAGCGGCGCGCTGCCGCGCTCCGCATCCTCGGCTTTGCGGCCGCTGCCGCTCCGTGTCTCGCATGCCGAGCCGGCGGCGCCGTGCGGGACCGCGGCTGCACCGGGGCTGCTCCCGCTGCCGGAACCGAGGTTTTCCCAACGCCGAACTTCAGTCGGTAATTGTATTGTGCTCTTCAGACAGAGCGTTCTTCACAGAGCGGCCCACCCGCCAGATTCAGAAGGGTTAAGCCGATGACATCAGTCAAGTGCCAAAGCATAAAACTGCATTTCAGCCACTGAAATCATTAACTCTGCTTTTTCTGCCCTCCTGAATGTAGAATCTGCCGTATGTTTGAAGGGTCTTTTGGTGGCATCTTGGATTTCTTTTTGGTAGTTTTTTATTGTTTTGTTTGAGGATTTTTTTGTAGGTTAAAAAAAACCCCACCAGTTGCTTAAAATTGTTAGTAACACATCGGAATGCTGATTTGGTCAGGTAGGTTATATTGCAGAACCAGCTGACACGTCCTGCTTAACCAAGGTGTGAAACACAAGCTGCAGCTCTAAAATCTGAAGCAAGCCTTACATAATATTTCCACGTCTTCACTGGAAATCATGTATGTTTAAAAACTGCTGAGGAAAGCCAAAAGCTAAACCACAGGGTAGCTCTTGGTTTGCATATGTGTCACATTCTCCTATGAATAAATAAATAATAAATAAATACTTTTTTAAAAGTTTTGGTAATGCCAATGGCATGTATGAGAGATCCTAG